GGGTTAGTGGCATACTGTTTCGTTGCCATCCAAGCTTGTTCATTGAACAATGTGAAGATCTCGAAACGACCTGGGTTCGATTCCCAGTTACAGCAAACAACCAAATACTTTTTTGCATATTTTTAGCATCCTTTGGACCTGACTCCCGGTCTTTGATTGTGCTCAGCCATACTTTTTCAATCCGCGTTTGTGTGGGAAACTGTGTATATTTACGAATGAGCAGGTTCATATTACACATGTTACGCACCTGGCGCTTGGGACTCCCACAGTTCAAGGGCTATGTAGAGCATTCAAATTGACGCGACGCGTCATGCGTCCTTCCAGTCGATCAGACTTGCCACAGGTACGCAATGTTCCATCAAAATACGTTGGTCTCAAGGTGCTCGACTGCTCGGACCTTCTTGATTGCGGCCTTTTGGCCTACTTGCGGCAACAGCAGGTTTCAATGTGGTCGGCTTGGCGATTTCGCTTCTGGCTGAAAAGCGGATTCTGGATTCAGAGCTATAGGTTCTAACACCCCTGGGCCTGTGGAAGGTCACTTGCAACTCCTGCTCCTGACTTTCCGCCAATCATCATTGACAATGGACAGGTCGCTGTCGCTTCCACTCCTTTCAACAGGAAATGCCATATTCACCTGTTCAGCAGCAACTCTGTCCTACGTCGGCTCGATTTATCTTTTCTCTGCTCATCGCATCGGAAGCCATCCAGCAGCTCAGTATGACAACGAAAAACTGATTCGACATAGACTACGAATGGTCTCTTTTAGCACGCTGACAAGCTTGGTCGGATGCGCCGCCACCATCTGGTCGAAGCTTCCAGCACTAAATGGCGTGAGCAAACGACAAAGGCGACAAGCTCAACTTTATTGACTTTCTGACGCGGTTGCCTCATGTTTGCATTCTCAGACACTCACATTGCGGCGGTCCCTTCGACTCTTAGGCATCCCTCTGCCAGAGGCAAATTTGGAAGCGATTGTCAATGGAGCACGAGAGCACCTTGCTCCAGCCGTGGCATTTCCACTCGGCTTGACTGCACTCATATACTGCGGCCCACTTTATTGTTGCTTCTTGGATCAATCGCTACCATTTCAAAGACAGTTTAGTTTCAAGAGGGATGTCCTATTTCGCTTCAGTCAGCTACAAGGTCTAAGAACTTTCGTTGTGGTACGTTTCGATATTCTATATTCCAAGCGCTTCTAGACTTCTGGGCTGAGACCGGTCAGGTGCACAGGGCCCTCTCACCGAAGAGTTGGTCTTCCGGTCTTGCATCATTGGCGTCTCCTTGTGCAGCGGTTTCAGCAGGATGAGCCTCATCTTTCTCACACCTGCATATTTCTCAATAGGTGGGCCACTATAGTCACCGGATCTGCGGCCGTTAAATGCTCATTTCTCGACTTGGTACGCAGCTCACTTCCATCATGCGTGGGAAAACTACGTCGGCGAGGGCAAAACTCGCAAAGCTCTGAAGCGCTCAGTGCAGCGTGCAAGTGAGTAATAAAGCTTCGTGTTGAATACCAGCCGCTTCTGCTGACGTGCGCACACCCTCAGTCTTTCAAATGCTGTACACCGCCATCTTTGGATGGTATGCGAATACGTTGCTGCTCCGAACAGGCGAGTGAGAACCGCTCTTCGCTTGATTGTAAACAAACCACGCTCAAGACGGTTGTGCTGAACAGAGTCCCTCGCATTGCAGGGAACGTGATTGTGCCATTCCTTTCCCACGTGTTCTGCAATGTGATGGGACTGCCTGACTTATTCCACGCCGAAGAAACGCACCCTCAACGGAAGCTATGTGTGTGCATCATGCTGCTAGGTGCCCTACTGCAAACCTGCGCGCTGATTTCCCCCCTTTCATGCCAGCCATTCGTATGGCGCATCTTGCTGGCATCGCAGCATTTGTCGGCTTTTTTGGTCGCTTGACGCGTCCAACCCTTTTCGGCGGCTCCGCCCTCTGGCAACAATGACGGGATAACATGTCTTCCAGCATACAATAAATTGCTATGAAGTCTATTGCAACACATCAAAGCTGCCTAAAGAGTCCACACAGTAGGTCGGGATTGTCTTTGCATCCGACGCGTCAATTTCAGAACGTTTCGAGATGCCAGTGAGAACCAGCATGGTGTCGATGCCGCCATTGATGCCGAATTGGATGTCGGTATTGAGACGATCACCAACAAAGATGGCCCTCGATTTGTCGAAGTGCGTAACAGCCTCGATGCAGTCAAGCATTGGCTTGTTCGGCTTGCCGATGATGATCGGTGCACGTCCACTCGCGAAGAGGAGCGGGGCGCTGAGTGCTCCTGAGCCCGGCCACGGTCCGCCGCGAGCTGGGAAAGTGGAGTCATCGTTGGTAAGGAGGAAGTGGCATCCACCGCCTGTCTCATTTGCTCTGACGGGGCCATCTGCGCCATCTCTCGTAATGTACTTGAACGCTTTGGCGAGCTTGAGATAATTGATGTGCATGTCGAACCCGCAGAGAACCGCACCGACGCTGTGATCTAGAGACCGTTCAGAGTTGAGCAGGCTGAAGTCCATGGAAGGTAAAAAATGTTTGTCGGCAGGATCCTGCGTTGGATCCGGGGTTCGAGAAAATAAGTATCGTGCAGCGGCTGGAAGTCACTATGGAATTCGGGATACCCACTGTGCCTCCGCAATAGTCCAGCCCTACCGCCTTCAATTCCTCCTCAATACCCTCCATGCCGATAACATAAACTTTGCGGTCTTTTGGAAGGTCAAGCACCTTAGAGATGTACACCGCCGCCGCATATGAAGATGAGAACACCTCGCACTACAGAAGGTAGACATTTCGTCCGAAAGTTATATAAGATGAGAATCAGGCTGGCACGAGAGCCGGTGAGATGGTGGGTTGTGTTTTGCCACGCACCAGTTCGGCTTGAATGGTCAGCTTCTCGAATTTTTTGAGATAGGCCATTCTGCTCTTGCTGGCATTGTTCGTCACAAAGACAACCTGCTTACCACGCTTTCTCAGCTTCGCGAGGACTGACTTTGCGCCTGGAATAAGGTCATCGCCAGACCAGATGACTCCATCGCAGTCTGTAACAGCGAGGTTTGCAGCAGGAGCAACAGATTGCATGCAACATGTCAGCAATCACGTCGCTCTTTAGCAGTACTTCGACAAAGAGAGGCTAACGAACCAAAGAGGAAGGTGTCGTATTTGTCGAGGATGGCGGCATACTGTTCCTGCGAGTCAAGGTACTGATAGGGAGATGGACCTGCCATCGTCTTGCGTTTCCTTTAAACCACGCGCGGGATCCACCGTTGAAAAAGGAAGGTCTTCTCCGGCCAATGTGAGCGAGAGAGGCACGAGCGCTTTGTCCAGGTAGCTAGGGACAGGCTGAGTCGTGGATAAGGCGCATGGTTCAAAAGCAAGGGTCATGGGACCACATCGAACTACTCGTTCTTCAGCCTGTCCACAGATATCTCGAGGTAGAGAATCGGTGCAACCATTGCGAGAGCTCATTGAAGCTCAAGTTCGGGTAGGGTTTAACAAGCACCAGTTCCGTGAGAATCTAATATACGTACTAGTAGGTATATATCGACTTTGACCCTCATGGTGTGGTGAGCTACTGGCTGCTGCCGCCAGCAATCTCCGTCGTGGGGTTGTCAGTCATCGCGTCGGCCGTCCAGTCTCAGCGAGCTCGGAGAGGGTTTGTCAAAAGGGGCTAGCATTCTCTGACATGAGACAAAGCACGCTAATCCGAACCAAGAACCGGGAACACCAGTTGCACTGGCGTGCGTTGAGCCCTGCGAGAGTTTGCGACGAGGCCGAGGAGAGAGAAAGCAGGATGACGTCTTCGCAATCTTGCGACGAGAATCTCGCGCTGCGATGTGCCAGATATGATTGCGCTTCGCCACAGCAGTTGCGCCTGGGCGAAAGAGACGGTGAATTGAACATATGTAGGAAGGAACGACAAGAGAGCCAGCCCAGCCCAGCCTCATCGCCACTTTGACTGCACATGGGCGAGTCGGCGACTCTCAGTTCAAACGAACAAGGCACAGAGATTTGTTGATCGTTGCGAGAACGTGAGACTTAGTAGAGACTCGTGTACGTTCTGCCGGCTGATTTGTGTCCTGCTGATCTCCCTTACAAAATAAGATGTACCAGCCAAGTGCACGATGGCCGTGGCGGTCACGGCGATGGCCGAGGCGCGACCTTCGCACCTCGCACCTTGCTTGTTCTCCCCACTTTCCTTCGCCCATCGTATCTATGTGACATCTTCTCTTTCTCGCACTTTCTTGCTTCCCTCGACGCAGACGGCTATTCCGCACACAGAACTGCAAAAGTGCAAACTCCACCGTCCCAAGCCAGCGGCACACAGCCTTTCTGAATCTCGCAGTGCGTTTGCTTGCACCATTGCTATGTTAAAATCACTATACCCCTCGAATTCATTTCCTGTTCACCAGCCCATGAAGCCGCCTTCACAGCAACGGCCCTCAAGCGGCATGCACCCAAAAGCATTGCCAAGTTCTACCCACGCACCCTAGCGGGAGCAATGCAAAAGCTCCATACGTCTCCAATCTGCATCCAGCACAAAGGAAGTCCATAGTTGTCTGCACGTTTCACTTCCTAGCCAAAAAGGCGACAGTCAATGCACTAGTTACAAAATGCGCTTCCCATTTCTCCTTGCCACCGTTTTCTTCAGTGCTGTTCACGCAAGCGCCATCGCTGCAGAAGGAAGCCCTGATGGCGCTTTAGCCGCTCCAGAACGCCTTGATCGCAAGCTAGATCCTATGGACATCAACTTTAGTCATTAGCCACTAACTCTTGGCAAACCCCGCGTATTTGGTAAGCGCATGCTTCCATCCTAAGTAGGAGGCCACCGCGGGATGGCAATGGGGACGGCGCTGGAGGTGGAGGCGGATGGGGCATGACTCCGGCTCGAACTCGAGCTCCAGATCCAGGGAGCATGGGTGGGTTCCTTGTTCTGTTTCATGCGAGGTGCCTTCAAGCCACCACCGTCTTCTCCGATACGGCTTTCACGTCAGGAGCAGCTCATCGAGTGAGTCCATATTGCACCAGTATTGGCCTGCCTCATCGCCTGCTACATCTCTCCGATTGCTGATTTCATTTTGTCCCCTCCTTTCAGCATCGAGGCCAATGCTTCTTCAAGCAATAACATCTCCCGGCCCACCTCTCGTACAAGCATCATCCCGACATCCTCGCGCACATCCCTCGCAGTTCATCAGCTGCCACATTCACTGAGCCAGTCACCCGATCCTCCATCGTCGCCCTCAGCTCTCAGCCTCCCGTCTCACCGTCGCTTTCCACCGCCTATTCTACGCAGACTAATCAAGTGATCATCGTTTGCCCCATCGCCACGGCCATTGCCGCGGCTCCCACCACGAGACTCAATAATCCATCCGAGTCTCGCATCCCCTGCAAGCACAACCCGTGTGCAGCACTAGATGGTCGCCCTTCTGACTTCGTACATTGCCATCCTCCTTGCTGCATCATCGCTCTCATAAGAGCCAAATGGCTTTCTAATGCATGCACTCCGGCTCCTACACGGCTGCTCCTTTCCTTCCAACATGCATTATTGCCCAGGCTAAAAATGGTCGTCCACAATTGCTCCTTTTACAAATGTGCTATCATAAGCAACAAGACCGAATATTGTTTTTAGGGAGCGTACAGAATTTTTCTTACATGCGCGCCATGTAAAGGTGGTGCACTTGAATCTACCTATTGGATCGGACCCAGGAGAATGGCATCAACTTGCTCGCCGACTGCCATTTGATCCGGTTGGCCAAGGGACGGTGGGGGTAGACATAACAAACCATTCGCTGTGGCCATCGAGTGCATACCGCTGATGATAGTTCATGAATAGCTTGTCAGCCGGCGATCAGGGCATCAAGAGGGTACTGACGCTCACCTGCTCCTCTGCTGGCCTGTGCTGCTCGCATAGAGCTGGCCAGCTGAATCTGTGCTGATGCAAACGCGATGGAATTCAGGACGTGGATCTAGCTTGACGGGCTGCCTGAGCTTAACCCGAACGCGTGCCATGCACCATGGATTGGGCGGAGCTTGTGTGTCTTGCGTTCTGCCGAACAATCGCGGTGCTGTGACCGGAGGATAGCCGGCCATCTTTCGCAGTGCTGGCACAACAAACACAAAAAAGCAGACCAGTGCCGAGGCTGGGTTTCCAGGAAGCGCAAAAAAGGAGCACGCCTTCGCATTCGGCTTGTTCACCACTGTCGCAAATGTTGTGGGCTTGCCCGGTTTCATAGACACTCGGCCGAAGTGGATTTTTGCGTCAAGGTCGCGCTCGAGAATGGCTTTGAGGAGATCGCTTTCACCCATCGACGTGCCACCAGTACTGACAATAACATCCGCTCTTATCATTCCCTCTTTAAGCTTTGCAATGGTCTTGGCACGGTCATCCTCGACGATTCCCAAATCGATGAATTCGCAGCCTTGACCTTCGATCGCTGCCCTCAAGCCAGGCCTGTTGGAGTCAATAACTTTGAGACATCTGTTGTTCACATCATCGCTAGCCGGTGTTTGCGCGTGCAGCTCCACCAATTCGTTTCCAGTTGACAACACAGCTACGACTGGTTTGCGATATGTCTTGACGTACCGCCGTCCAACAAAAGCAAGGGTGCCGATCTCTCCTCCTAGTATCGAGAGTACGGCTCCTCTTGTTAGAGCAACCTGACCCTGCTTGAGATCGGAGCCAGCCGCTCGAACGTGGTCACCTCGTCGCGGCAAACGAAGAATGCTGACTACAGACTCCTCACCCTTGCTGGCGTTCTGCGTATCAAGAATGGCTGTGTCTTCAACCATGACCATAGCATTCGTACTGGGCGGCAAGCCTTGGCCCGTATTGATACGATAGACTGGTGCATGGATGTCATCTGAGACGGCACTAGTCGGAAGCACAACAAAGGTACCCATGTTCACCTTGTCTGCGTCTACCGCATATCCGTCGACATTGCTGGTAGCCACAGGCGGCAAATCGGAGCTAGCTCGGACGTCCTCGGCCAGGATGTGGCCAGCTAATGCCGAGTCGACGGGTAACTCAAGTACTTCTTCTAGACACTGCGTATGCGAATCGATGAGGTGCAATGCTTTGTCGAGAGGTACCATAGGATATGGACTTGTTCTCTTACGCCCCGATGGTCCTGCGTCAGGATCCGCGGTCATGTAAGACAAAGGCTCGGTGCTGTGGGCGGGCTGATGGTCAGGCCTACAGCAGGAGCAAGCTAATTTGTCGTTCATGAAGCCGCCTTGAGAGACTGCCTGTGCTTTGTCGCTGGGCTCGGGACGGGCCAGATAGCCTTGCATCGACTTATGGGTCTGAGAGACATCCTTGTTCGCCATCAGCTTGAGAGCGTGCAGTAAGACAGGCGTTTCAGCAGGAAGAAGCACTTCAATGCACTCTTTGACCGCTTTCGGGCTCCCCGGAAGACAGATGATGAGCGTATTGCCAGTACTTCTAGTGCGAATGCCAGAGATGCCTCTTGAGAGGGATGCCAAGGGTGTCTTGCCCAAGGAATGTGCTGTGAGCGCGTGAGTTAAGGCCGGGGTGGGTCTATCAATCAGAGGAGCGATTGCCTGTTCGAAGGGTGCACCAAACAAGGCATTTAGGACAAAGGAAGCTAGCCGTCAAACGCTGAAATCCAAGCCAAAGCTCACTTCGGGGGTATTGTCCCTAGGGCTGAAGCCAGTACCGCCGCTCGTTATGACGAGGTCCACGCGCTGCTCATCGCAACATGCCAGAACCACCGCTGAGATGACATTCGTGTCGTCTGAAGCGACATACTGTCTGTCGACTCGTATCTGGCCATTAGAAGCGAGTTCTAGCTCGGAGCGCAGAAGCGGTCCGGACCTATCAAACGAAGAGTCTCTGGCCGCAGTGTCAGAAACTGGAAAGACATTCGTCCGTATATACAGCACATCATCATTCCCACTTGAGCATTCAGCTCTCGATTGAAACAGTAAGCCAAGAACCGTACTCACCCGTAATCACAGCCGCCGTAAAGATGTCCATTGCTGGTTGCCTCAAGCAGGCGCTTGTTGTCTGGGAAGAGGGGTAGCGAAGCGGGCAACTGCCTGAATGATTCCTTTGAAGAATACTGCACATGTCCTGGATTTCTCTCTGCCAGGGTTGTCAAACGACAAGTCAACAAATCTGGCGAATCAACAGTTACAGTGACCGGCCATGGGGCGATTGGGATGATCTTGCGATTTCGCCGTCAGAAGTCGAAGCAGAGCGTCTGCTGGTTATCATTCACCAGGCCGATGTAGCCACGCTATCCTACAGTGTGGACGCCAAAACGAGATATTCCATCTCATACATTACCCAGTACGAACAACTTGAACTTGATGGAAGAGGTCATATACGACGAGGGTAAATGCAGCTGAACAACGAAATAATAGTGTTTTGTGACTTGTGCCGGCAAGAGCACTATTTACATAATAGTTGACATCCTGCGGCCCCTCCCCCCGCGGGCGGCGCTATCTCTGTCTCATCCGTGTCTGCCGACCTGATTATTGAAGACGTCACATCTTTTGTACTCCACTTTCAAACCTGGAGGCTGGAATCAATGGCGCTTGGCTATAGTCCAAGTCTATCATGTCAAACGAGTCAAGCTGACGAATCGCGTAGATCTGGAACAGCAGGCGCAACCAATCGTGACGACAACCATGTCTCGTTCGCTCCGCACACGACCTCAAACGCTATACCAACAGAATGAATCCGTTGACGATCAAGGGCGTCTGCTCGCGGTCTCTAGCACCGGGGGTATGCCTGATGCGCAATACGGGGCCCAGAATGCGGCACAAAGAAATATCAGCAAGTCTGCAGCACGCAGCTCGGGCAACGAAGGCTCCAACGCACCTGCATTGGCTCCCAGCGGTCCCAGGTCCAAAGTCAGCTCGAATCTGAAGAAGCGCCTGTCGATGCGATACAAAGATGGAGCCGATCCGCTTCAAGGTCACATATATCGGATGGCTACTGCCTCGGACGTTCCGCAAGTACCCAGCATTCCTACGACCTTCTTGCACCATGGGAAGGGTGGAACACCTTTGGCTCCGCATCAGGAGGACATGATGAACGCAGCCATGTCGATCCCAGGCTTCTCTCTCGGGCAGGGCCACCGCTTCCTTCCAGTGGTGGGTGCGACTGTAGAACAAGGGGGCGTAAAGGTATCAACAGATCCCGCACCTTTCGGTGGCCCTCCAAGCGGCGCCTTGCTAGTCTCGTCACAGCGCAACTTCCACCCTGTCGATCCGCAACATGTACCCGGTCAATTCAGTCGCGCCCACGCCACCTCTTCGGCCGGGGGAGATGCAGCTGGTGCCGATCTCCATTTTATTGGGAGCGAACGATTCGATCCACAGACATGTAAGCAATACTTACCCGTGATGAGAGTCGGCGAGTAACGTCACGACTAATACAGACTGCGCATCACCGGCGTGCGCCGTGTTTAGACCTCCGCGCTCTTGCAGCAGACAACGGCCCAGATACAGATGGGTCCGTTCAACAAGGGCGTGACGCACTGCTTAAACTCAAGGAGCATGCAAAGGCCGACCTAAGGCGGCAAGTTTTTGCCAACTACGGTGATTTCATCAGCATCAGTAAAGAGGTAGCAGGCCTCGAGAACGACACGTTGGAGTTGAAGGAGCTACTTCGCGAATGGGCAGCTTTACCTGCCTCACTAGACTCCAATGAATCATTGATGCAGCACAGCGGTGGGATTGGGAGCGTTGGTGCACTCTCAGCCGGATTCACTTGTTCGTCCAGAAGCTGAGATCCGCAAGCCAGTGACTGGTTAACTTATGCTCACCCGCCTCGCAGCTTTGTCTTCAGCCGCTGTCGGCTCACGCCTCAGTGCTCGCAACAGTATACAAGACCTCTCACAGGTCTATAAAGCACAAATTCAAGCTTTGTGGGAGAATGTTGAGGGCTCGCAAAGATTTGTCTCCCATGCACCAGGACGACACCTGATAGCGGAGGCGCCGAACTTTATAGAGATGAACAGTGCGACCTATCGTCCCAAACAGCCGGTATCATTACTTCTGCTAGACGACCTGCTTCTCGTGGCGACGCGCAAGCGTAAACAAATGAGCACCAAAGTGCAGCTATCGGCAGACCGTTGCTTTAATTTAGGGGAGATAGTAGTCATCGACCTCAAAGATGCGTCCGATCTCAGCAACGCCATCAAGATCAAGCGGGGAAAGGAAGTATATGTATACCGCACTGAGCGACTTGAGGAGAAGAAGTCATTGTTGAGCTCATTCAGAAGAGTCGCCGAGGAACTTGCAGTCAAACGCCGGCAACAAGCAAACGAGTCCTCTAACAAAATTCGGGACTCGCTCTCGGGGCAAGATCTTGACGACCAAGACCCCGACAATATGCAGGCGTGTGAGAAACGCGTCTTCGAATGGTCGGATGAGCTCGCTGTGTCAATCGCACTCAGACAATGGGAGGAGGCGGTTTCTTTGGTCGAAAAGGGTGAGAAAGTTCCTGAATCGCATGCCGTGCCATACTTACAACAGCAACATACGCATTGCAGGTAACGAGATGCTCGCTGCTTGCGCAAAGGGAGATTTGTTGCATGCACAGATCGGGGCGAGACTACAACAACACGCAACATCGCTGAAGGCTGCTCTCTGTCTGGCACTGTCTAGCCCCGTTCTGAAGAAAGCCAGCGTTGTGCGGTTCGTGTCGTACATGTTGCGCCTAGACCAAGGGGAGACAGCGCGCGAGCTATTTCTCAATTCAAGATCAGAACTTCTGAAGCGACGCTGCCGACAGATTCGATTCGAGGGGGACGTAGGTCTCTACATTTCAGAGCTTGCGTTGGTACATTTCACGATCGTCAAAAATACCAGCGAGTGGTACATGAGCGCGTTCAAAGACAACAGGATGGCATCAGGTGAGCCATCCATTATGCATGAGCTTTTACCAGCATGGAGTGCATTCCACTCACCCCATGCAATATCGCAGGTTTTATTAAGTGGGCAACAGCGCAAATCGGCTTGTACGCGGACACTTTCCGCAAACAGGTGTACGACGCAGATCATGGGGCGGACAAGGATCCGAGGGTCGTTGCTGAGGCTGTGGAGATCAGTCAAAGGAGTGCATCTCAACTGAAAGAGGTCGGTCTCGACTTCGGCTTCTTACTAGAGTAAGTGTCGATATCGTGTTCTTTCGAAGGAGGAATTGACCAGCTTTTCCCTAGTGAGCTCTTGAAGCCACCAGTAAAATGAATGTGTATTTTGCTTTGTTTCATGTGGCGCCAGAGTGAGGCTCCCTTCGCGGAATCTGTAAAAACTGATCTGCGTCATTTTGCTCATCGGCCGTACGATTCTTGATTGTCCTTGGGCTTGAATTAGGAATCTTTATCATTTGGCCCCGAGTGCCGGTGATATATATAAGCGCTGCGGGCGCACACAGCTGACAATGTGTACAATCACCCAACAGAGTGAGAGCATAAGAGGCTGCTGGCAGGTCCGTCTTTCTCGCATCACTCTCGAGTCAGGATGGAAAGTAGTGATTGCTGCGGTGCGTAAAACCCAACAGCCGCGCGTGCTCCTCAACTACGAGGAGTCGCTATCGGCTCGGTGGCTCTCGTTGCCATGGGCTGAGGTAAGATCGGTCTCGCCCGCTGAGACCTGTGAGTGTCAACCGGTCGTACATATCGATAAGCCGGGAGCCTACGTGTGCGGCATTTGCCGAGTCATCAATCGCGCCATGATGATTAGTGCTTATGGGATGCGTCAGATCCTAGGCGCCGGTGTAATGTGTCAAGGAACCATCAAAAATGGCCCGGTCGACTCCAATGACCACTGCGTCAAATGGCCTCCAGCTTGGCATGCTTAGACCATGTAATTGACAATCTAGCGTTGAGCTGCAGGCCCACAAAGCTTCACCATCTGCAACCCAACATTGTACAGGACTACGTCAGAAATCGGCTTCGTAACAACCGCAGGCGACAAGTGCTTGTATACACGCAAGCCCAATGCCGGTGGCTTCTCCCTCATTTTCGTACTCATTTACGCTGGTAATATCTTGCGCTATGAAAGCTTGCGCAGTGGGGTTTGAGTAAGCAACAAAAGCCGATGCATGGATGCTCTGATATTTTCCCCCAGGCACAAGAGTGCAAAAGGGAATGTAAAACAAACATTGTTTCTGGTATGACCGAGGCAGGCTGCAGACGCGCGAAATGAAGCACCCACTACCACATTTGAAGAATGTGGTGCGGATGATATAACATCGAAACGACAGTTGATTCCACCAAACTGTGCGAATGTTCTCAATTTTGGGAGCCTCAAGAGTATTGGGGTCAATTTAGGGGCCTAACAGTCCCAGGTTATTGCCTCAATCCGTATATTGCATTTGTGAACCTGGCCGCGCACGAAATGGTGTTGTGGCGCGATATGCTTCGTCTTGTGATGATGGTCAGGATTGATCTGGATACTGCGAGCACCTGAACTATCGGAGCAGAGAGTCGGAACGTCAGGCAAGTAGTGCAAGAGCACACCGTTGAAAGTGTAGCTGATAGTGTTGGGTCCCGCGCCCATTTTCATCACTACTATCCTGAGCTGCTCGCTTTGCTATTTTACCACAGCCTGCACCAATACTAGCTCGTAAATCGTCGCCGACAAAGCCACAAAGCCACAAATACATATATATATATATTGGCTTCCCCGCTTGACAATGCCACAGAGACTTACAGCCTTGAAAACCAACTGAACGATACACTATTACCAAGGAGCCCATCGTAGGCCGAGGCTTGCTGGAATCCCTTGCCCAGTCACCACCAGTACAAGCAAGTAGACGAGGTATGTTCTCAAAATTAGAGGCACAGTGTGAAGTGGCTGATTTCATGGTTTTGAGGTAGGCCAAAACCATGAAAGCAACTTCAAGTAACCACTATCGGGATTGCTTCCAAAGTGACTACGTTGATGACTGTATGAAGGAGGATCTCGGGACACTCCTGCGCGCGACCCAGAGAAGAGTTTCGACTACAGAAACGTAAAAGCAGATTTCGTCCGCTGAGGCTTTTCCTAATTTACGGGAGGGCTTTGACACAAGAGCAGCAGCAACGCGAACGCGCGAGCCAACAAAGCGAAGCAGGTCGAAGCAGCGCAGTCCATAGCCACCATCGAACGTTATGGACGGATGGAGAACAGGGGCCAAGCTACAATAGGTGCACGTGGAAGTTAGTGCCTTGTGGATAAATAAGTAGCCAAACGCAGCATCAAGAGTTCGTGTGGCGTAGAGAACAATAAGCAGTCAGAGCATCCTCTCTGGATCCAATGAGACATCCGTTCATGAGGATTCTGAAAGCTATGTCAACGATTATGTAGTCAACACCGTCAAAGTGAACGATATGGTGACCTCTAACACCAAGCCCTGAGCGTGCTATCGCGATTGCCGTTGGACGATCATCATTTTGATGATGAAGCAGACCCTACACGGCCGCACTGTCGGCCTTATAGATGATATTTAGCTCGCCCTTGACCAAATGCTACCGGCATTGGGCATCTTCTTGAAAGCGACAGCTTTGGGGCGTACCACACTGTAGGTGGGGTGGGTGCCTTCCCATTTGTAGGAGACAACGGCCAGCAGATAGTCGGCGCTATATCAAAGGAGAACAGTGGCGCAACGTCTGACAAGCGAGGAGTCAGTGCGTATGTCTGGCTGCTTGCAAGGCGTGTGGATATGAAGCATATAGATCACGGCTACAGCTGCCCGCAGCGCCTCCCATACCGGCTGTACATCGCATTCCAGCGCGTACCTTTGCGCATCCGAGGTGATGGCACAAAAGTGCGAGCAGATACCCGCACAGTAAGGTATGAGCATCGGCAGTTGTGGCACCATCGCGGCTGCTGAGCACAAGTTACCCAGTATCCTTGAGTTACAGCAGTTACAGTCGTGCGGACGCAGTGGGAACTGGTGGAAAGCGTCGGAATCTAGTAGACGATCGTAGAGTGAGTGAGGAATGACCAGGTATCGGGAATGCGCAGCGAAGAGTATCAAACCCGCCTCAGAAGCTCGTTGGACGGATGAGCGTCTATTTCCAGGCGTACTTGCGGCGGCTCACCAATCCCAAAGGAAGCGACGTTGCCATAACAGTTAGCCTTTTCAAGATGCCTTTGGCACAGAACATCTGGGCATGTATTCGAGCTCCCAGCGCGCGGAGTGGTGAGCGCGGGAGGGAGCGGAGGTGTAGTGGTGTCGCTCCTTCTGCCCAGTCGCACCCGACTGGGTGGATCCCCATCGGCGGCGGAGCAATGTGGAGCCTCTCGTTAGGTAGAATTTTGGCTCGAGAATGTCTAAGACCGATCGATCATGAATTGACGCGCCTGCACCAATGCGCAACCGATTCCCCACGCTTGCCATGGAGGCGAAGGGCACTTACAATTGGCCTGCCAGATTTAAGAGTGTGAGGGAGCGTGAATGGCTCGGCTACAGCTTTGATATGTGCGGCCGTCAAAGCACGCCTTATATAAGAAGGCTCATTACACAACCAGAATAGGATGCTCTGGCTTTTTTTGTTCTCTACACTAGAGGAACTCTGGATGCTGCATATGGTTCCTTATTTATGCACAAGGTATAAACTTTCACGTGTACATATTGTAGCTTGGCCCTTGCTATTTAACCTTCGACCACGTTCAATATTGTTTCCTGGGCTGTGCTGCTTCGAGGTTCTTCGCTCTGTTCGCTCGCATGTCCGCTCCTCCTACGTCAAATTCAGCTTACAACCGTTGCGACAATCGCACCCAAGGCGCGTCCGCAGCCCGGTCTCCCTCAAAGGGGCGCGTGTTCATCGAGCAGCAGAGTGCATATTCATTTTCAGCGTGCAGGTAGTGGTATGCCGCCAACTCGAGCAGGCAGCTTGGGTGCCTAAGGCTTTCCCTCGCGCCAACAGACTACCCAACACGTTGCAGCAGTTCCCCCTCAAGGATGACTTGCTTTGGCATTTCGAATTCCCGACAGCGGATGATCAGAACGTGAAGGCCAGACTAGTCGTGGTCGTACCCAGCCCTGAGATCCAGGGCATTCTTCAATCGTGCATGTGGCCACTATGCACTCATGGATTCGGGGCCTTGTCCTTATTCTCCAGCGCATGTACTGGTCCCCTTCTTTAGCAGCGATAGTGGCAGACTCACGCGCTGTTAGAACAAGTGTCAAAACTTCCGCAGCGTGGTGCTGCCGCGGGTAGCAATGGGAATTTGCAAGCCAGTGGGTGTGTCCGCCAATATGCGTACGTGGGTCACGGTCATGTTGGCCCCACAGACGCAGTTTCTACAAAAGCTCCATCGTCCTGGTAGACCAGTCATCTGAATACGTCGTCGCCCGTGCGATCAATTCTCATTCATCGCACGATACAACTGCTGCACTGTACGCTCTTTGGACCCGATCCTGTGGTCCACATGCAGTATTTTCCTCTGATGACATGGTGGAGTTCAAGAGCAATATTTTCGCTGATTCTTTGCGCCCTTACGGATGCACACTCGGGCCCTCTTCCCCCCGAAATCCGTGCACGAACATCTCTGAGAAGGTAATCAACAAGGTGAAGAATAGCTTGCGGGCTGAATACCCGGTTCACGCTTCATGGCGCTGTCGCACAAAGGCAGCTAGCTGCGTCTGCTTGCCGTGGTCGTGCATGCGTTGTTTGCCATCCTCTTGGATGCAGCAACACAACCTGCGACCCTATGCTTTGCCCGCACGCTCCCCACGCCTGCCAACGCTCACGCTCCCGACAATCTACCTTTCGTGCACCCGCATCCCGCGAATGCCCTCTCACCGCTACGTAGCCCAAACTTGTTTCGCGATGCTACCGCGTATCGGCGTGCGGTGCAAGCAGCATCGCCGCCGTATTCGTTTCGATCAGTAGCAGCAGCTCGTGCGCTTCCCCGTCGGGGCGAAGCCCATGAAGGCAAGCTAGCGAATGAGGGAAAGGAACACATGACCATGCATTCAGTTCTGCCACAGCATGGGCCCCACCACCGGCACGCCTGCCAGCGTTGCCATCTCCTCTCTTATCACTCTTGCTCGACTATGGCATATGCACTTGTATGCTCCTCAGATGCTGCTAGCCATTATCTCCACCTTGGTGGAGGGCCTCTGCACCTTCGGGGATTGTCCTTCTGTAGCGCCAACAGTCGCGACGCGTCGGTCGATGCACAAGAGAACAGCAGGTCGTCAACGAAACTTGGCAGACATTCGCCGGAGAGCACAACACTAAATATAATCTGCATACGAGGATGCACGTCTGACAAGCTCGGAGACAAGTTGAAGATCATAAGTAGCATCACCCGCCTGTCGACGCTCGCTGACCAAGATCGAAGAACCATCGGCAGGGCCTTGAATAGTCCCGCCGGAAACATTGCGTATGTCCCTGCCCCAGAGTACTTGTGCCAAAATACCGGTGAACCCATCGCGTATCTCGATGAATCGCGAGTCGAACGCAATGACCCAGGGTGCAGAATAGGCGACTGGAGATAAGGCAATGCGTCAGCACTTCTTTAGAAGCTGGTCATGCAACAACCCATCCTCACCAGACCGTATATGGCCTTCCCATGTGAATGCGCTTGCCAGACGCACCGGGCTGCCGAGACGGTCGACTACATGGACAAAGAGAGGTCAGATGGTGTCCATTCTACTCATTTGCTTTCGGCGGTTGGCCATCACGTACCATAGCAAGCGAAGGCTACAGCGAGAGGGAAACACATCAGCCATGTTTCGCAGCACGGCATGGGGTTCGCACTCACAGTCATAACAGAGTAGGAATTCGCTCTCTGAAATTTTGAACATACCCAGAGCCTTGGATGTCTCGATCCGTTTCATGAGCATCTGAACTTGTGCATCGTCCCGCGGACATTGAGAGAAGTCGGGAATCGTGCCAGGTAGCAAGCTGTCCAAATTCATGATCTCAAACCCTTTCGCACAGATGACGCAAAGTTTTGAACGCAAATATTGAAGATTGAATGCATCTGAAGGAATGAAGAAGGTCTGGCATATCGGGTACGGGTAAGTCACGTCGCTTTAGGAGTACATATGTCTTACACTTACCTTGTAAACCCTGAACCAATCTGAGCTTTTTGAGTCTTTGCCGAATTTCCCGAAGAAGCCACTACCGCCACGACCATCTTGGTTACGCGTAGTGTTCACCACTGGTTCGAGCGCACGGAATACACTCTCGCTCGCCTTTTTCTTCATGTAGATCAGAAGTGTGCGTTCCTTCAACAACCCGACGTTGAAGAAGAGTACGTCTCTATTCCCGCTAAGTCGTTGAGGCGGGCGCGGCGGAGCTCCTGCAACATCGGCCGACGGCACCAGGGCTTCCAAGCTGTACGATATCAGGACTTTGTCCGCAAGAACAACGAATATGCCGAATGATTCGAGGACCGCGCATTGGGTGACGAGCTTCAGGTGCAGCACTTTTCGCAGCGACCGAGGATCGTGGCGAAGCCCAATCCACACACCATCAGCACAGCCTATCGCAATCAGGCGCCGCCCGTCTGCGGTTGCGAAAGGAACAGCACATGTGACTCTTCCATGAAAGAGGGAAGGATCAGCACCCGGCGGTGGTCGCTCCAGATCCCCGTAATGAACTGGAGGCAGTGCAAATATCTCAGCGCTGAGAGGCTGCAGTTCAAAGGGCCGGTTGAGTTCTCGGACACTGAGACGAGAACGGCGGGCGTGCTCCAACTTGCTCTGCCAGGTCTCGCGAATCGCTGCACTTGCGACAAAAAGCGTAAAGAGCTCGGACGATGCAATATGGCGCAGGGTGAAAGGAAAGGCCTCGCGTGTGTCCGTCCTGTCTGCATTGCGCAGATTGAATGTGCCAAGCCCGACAGATCTTGAGATCGGCGGATCGTCAAATGAGACCAGCTCAAGCATTTCCAGAGCTAAAGGCTGCAAATTTTCGAAGAGGCATTAGAGACACGAAATTACCAGCCGAGCAACCATCCGTCTCACCCGCCGTGCAAGAGCAAGACGATGGGAAGATAAGCTCGCCCCGTCTCCCTCGTCGCCCTTCTTCGTCTTGGCAATGAGGAGATAGTGATCAAAGAGGATAGCAAGACAGTCTTGCCACTCGAAATCAAAGCCATCTGGCTTGCGATATACTCTTCCCTCGTAGACGAGCTGCCGCTCTGGATTCAGGAGATCAAGCTCCTAAAGAGATAGACATCAGCTGCTGCTGCTGTCGTTGATGCTGCTGATGATATTGCTGCATATTGATCTGCAAAGATGGCCCACTCACCGGCGCGCCCTTCGATCTTAGTGTTGTGAAAGTGAATGCGTACTCCCTGATCTTGGCTTTCTGCTCTGCAGCGACCATCCCTGCATTGCACGTTTGAAGCTGGTCATTTATAACATCCATTGCTTGAACAATGGTGTCGCGGTCATAGTTGGACTCGTCAGTGTGTTTATGAATCTCTTGCAGGTGCAAGCGGTATCGTTGCAACCGTGGTGAAGGTCGGTACAAGAAGTGATCAAGTGTCAAACGGTGACACCGCGGGTCTCTCCGAGCAGTCTGCCAGCATTCAAGAACATCAGCATTCAAAGACCCCGCACTAGTCAACTAGTAAGGAATTACATACCTCTACGAACGCCCTGAATTTTGGATTGATGACCAGCTCGCGGCGGACGCGGGCGATTGCCAAGGGGTAGTTCACGATGTAACGGATGAAGGCGTCACCCCAGTCCAGAGCGGCATCCAAGAAGATATCGCCGATGGTTTGGATCACGGGTGATTCTTCTCGTTGTCGCTGGTGTAGGCGTTCAAGAAATGTTCGGACCTGATCGATAAGCGGCCTATAATTGGAAAAGACCTCTGCGATGAAAGCATCGCGCTCTTCGCCGAGCGGCAGCGGCCTTGAAGCACGCATTTTCTAGGTCAGAAAGCGATTCTTCACATGTTTGTATGTACTGCCAACGCTTACGGAGGATCTCCTTGTGCGTTCGGCCATTGCAACCCGGGTAGAAACAAGGTGTCCAAAAGGGAAAGGTCCTCGTAAAATTCTTCCTCTTTTTGAATGGCTTCATGGATCTCGTTCTGTCGTGAGATTTCTGCCTTGGTCAACGAGTTGAGAACCGACGGAGGAACAATTTCGGCCCATGCCAGTTTTTGTTTCCCGACTCGGTCCGCTTGCACCCAGGATGCATCGCCCGTCGGCCCTAACATGCCACTGACATTTGTGTCGGTGATGCCGAGTTCAGCACTCCGCAATGCTATCGACCTCGCTCGCGGGCATTGAGGAGAATAGCAAGCGTATGGCTGATTGCCCCCGTCCTGTGCGCATAGCGGCGAGTAGCACAGGGTCAAGGGCGTGATGACCGACGATGGTATGCTTTCGATATCCATGATCTCCGAATAGACGCCATTGTCACCGCTGCTGACCTGTTCCTCCTCGTTCAGAAAATTGTATATCTCATCTGGGTCGTCGCATAGCTCGCTAGCGTCCCACCCTACTGAATGCACCCATAATTGAGCCTGTAAAGACCGAGCAATCTGAAGTGCCAGTGCGCGTGAAGGGGGGGTTTCGCCTACGAAATCGTTCATCGCAGGCTCGAGCCTTCCTGAAGGTTTCATCAAAGCCTCCAAAGCGTCGACGAGACCACGGCCTGTGAAGCCGTACTGTACCACGTGCCCGCGATGATGCTGCTCGCGATGCACGGAGCGTCTGACGCCAAAGGCCAAGTGTGACAAAAGCGAAATTTCAGTGTTTGCGCCTTGCCCATCCCCGGAGAACGATATTCGTGATGCAGCGTCCTCGTGATATGAGTCGGAAACGATGAAGTCTTGAGATACGTGTAAAGGTGAAGCATTAACAGGATTGCACAGGGGAAAGAAACACTTCAAGAAAGCTCTTCAAATTCACCTCCCCTATACCCATGGTTTTCGGGAAACTCTGAAAGATCATAGGACGACTGCCGGGTCGAACCCGTTGAGGAAGAGCTGAGCGGGTTCGGGAAGCTGGACAGCGTTGCTGAAGGTGAGAGCGGGGTCGAAGATTGACACCTTACGGTGGCCATGCCCTGATAATGCGGTACGAGTAAGTATTCATTTTCACGTCCCAGAGATTTGGAAAGTAACGCACCCCATGGGCATATGGTGATGGAGAGCCACGTCCAGGCGTTGGGGGCAAAGGACGACGAATCGATGCCACCCTTTGCGGGCCTCCGACAGGAGCTTGATATGACGGAAAGGCAGGCCCTGTGGGATGTCCTAGCGCTTGGGTCGGACCAATGACTCCGGGAACAATACTTTCTGGGCCCCGGGTGTATGAGTCTTCTGCATTGCCGCTTGCTTGGCGAGGCATGTCAGGGTATGCAATGTGTCGGGTTCCGATCGTCATCGAGTGGACGCGCGCTTCAAGCTGTCCGACATGTCCATAGACTTTTTGATCTGGAGGGTGGTGTGCTGGTAAATGGATGAGATGCGTTCGAGGCTGCGCTTGAGGAGACCATTGTAGAGGGCCCTGAAACGACTGTTCGTGCGCCACCCAGCGGTGACTTTGAGGTGAGATGGGGGGAGGTAAGTGCTGCTCTTGCTGACCGTAGGGGTCCTGCATTTTGAACGTCGCCGCTTGACGATCTTTGATCAAGACTCGGGTGCCAGCCAACGCTTCAGGATAAGTGGATCATGCACGCAGCCGTAGCAAACAGCGAGGTAGTGTTTATACAGGTCTTCGGACCCCGTATCCCAGTCGCAGGTGACTGGCTCGCAAGCAGTTGAGAGCCTCGCATATTGCGAGGGCTTCAAGCCATGTTGCTTTCTGGAATGAGCATTGCTGCGCTGCCCAGACGTTGCAGTCTCAATCCTTAAGAAAGAGCAATCAAATTAGATGCCCGGAGCTCACAAATGTGAATGTGAATATCTCTTTTACTAACAAACCATTGTAAGATGCAAAAGGCGATACATATGTACGAGTCAATGAGAGAGAGTTGTGCTCGATTTCAAGCCAATGCTCTCTACGGTTAATGAGAGAATCTGCCTGACTCTGGAGAGGCGCCCTCCGCTCCACTCTTGACTGCCTCTCTTTTGGACGATCTAACAATGTTAACCGACTCCTGTGAGACGAATGAGACGATGAGTGTGCGACGAGCCATCCATGTCTACCCGCTATGTAGCTCCACATAATAAGTTACACGGGCTACAAGAAGTTAAACTATGATGAATGGGTATACGACACAACTACGCCGAGGTATGCGAGCGACGACTTTCTCATCCCTACAACTATAGTCCACGAATGATCAAATGAGCGGGGGTTTGCCGTCCTTCTCCCAGTCTGACGTGATTTGTAGTAAATCATTGATAACTGAGATAGGTGTCGCTGATGGTTCAATCGCGGCCTGGTGCCCAATGACCGTTACATGGCTTTTCTTCGAGGCTACATAACCGCATCAAGCGAATGTCGTTGCCTGCGATGATCTGAACATTCAGGATGTATCAGCAAAAGACATGCGCTGACCTTGAACGAGCATCTCGGGCGTGCAGCACAAGTCGAGCAGAAATTTCGCCGCATGCAACGACGCAGGCGACTAGAATAAGTATAATGATGATAAGAGTACTGTGGAATGGAGCAGAATCAGCGCATGTTACAATTGTGGACTTCTGATCTGAGAGCTAGACGGAGCTCACATCTTACTCATGGCTTCGTTCGAGATGTGTTCGTGGATGATGTCGAGCAGATCATTTGCTACCGCAAGTCTTTCATTGAGATTTTCTACGCGCTGATCGATTTCGAGATATTCTCGAATCGCTGTGTATAACGCCTGTAAACTTGCTTCACTCCAGAAGAGCTCTGGCGTATCCAAGACATTACTGGTCAGGTTGACATCGACTCTGAGCTTGAAGAGACGGCCTGTCATCCGCAGCGCCTCTCGGCGCTTGAGTTGCAGCACGCCAGTTGAGGCAAGCTCCCGCGGAATGTGACTCGTGAGCTCGAGTGTGCGTTGCATGCTTTCCTCGAAGACGCTCAGCTTCGTAGATTGGGCAATGGCATGGGCAAGTGATAACTTGAGAAGATGATTCGACGTCCGGAAAGTGAAAAAGTCGTTGAAGATGCGTGGTGCAGGAATAGCGGGATCATAGCAGAAATGGAAAGCCTCGGTCTCCACATCGTCTTGTCGCAGAACACCCCGAACGCACCCTGTCGAAATCATATCTTCGATGATCTGACGCTCTTCAGCGGCCGTGAAGTTGAACATCACGACGACACCGTAGGGAAGGATGACCAATTCGCCCACCTGGAGGGCCTCCAGAATAGAGCGAGTCGTGAGATAGTTTGCGGACGTGTCGTGATTGTGCGATGCCATATTACGCTTGGGATAGCGTGGCTTTTTGGTCGCGAGTGATGTCTCCCCATCGTGCCTGGTTGATGGCGAAGGCAAGAGCATGCCTTGGTGGTCCTCCACTTGATGGTCCTCGCTTGCATGATGTTTTGCTGCTGGCTGTGGAGGTGAAGCAGCGAGCAGAGTAGGAGTTCCGCTCGACGGACTAGATGGATAAAGTGGCTCGGTTTTGGAGTCGGCGCTCGCCTGACCAGCGAAAGTATCTGCTTCACTATCTTGACTTTTGCTGCTGCTAGTGGCATCAGGCTGCACTACACGGAAGGGATCAGAAGGGCCCGCGTTGACACGCTCCGCGTCTGATTCGTCTGTCTCAGACGTGTATGCGAAGTGTCTGGCATCTTCAGCACGACTGGGCCCTTCATTCAGTGCAAAACCCGCAGAAGGCTCTCTGCGAGCTTGCTGAATTTCTTCGCCAGATTGCCCTTCACCGCCCTTGATGTAACCATCGTCGTCCATCTCAGTGCCTTCTTCACTTTCTTGCGCAAAATACTGAAGGGCTCGTATTTAGCAATATCACAAATCTTCCAGGCCTGCCGATCAACTCACACTTCCGACATAGCCACTCTCTTCTCGCTCGATCAGCTCCCTCTCAATCCTAGATTCTGCTCCTGGACTTCCGCTCCGAGGCTCTGGTGCACTACGAATATTTGCCTTGCCAAACCCCGGAAGAAGTGGCTTGAAATACTGTACGTAGACACATTCATCATAGAGCCTAGGCTTGACGCCGTGCTCTCTCCGTAGAAACCCTATCAATGTAGGAAGGTGAAGGTCTGTGCCCACTGCGTAGGAGCTCAAGCGGGGCAGAGGGGTGCTGATCCTGGTGGACGGGGCCATACGCTCGAATGTATGGTAAGCAGGACCAGTCGTCCTTGGGACTCTTGGGGGAGCTCTAGTATGTCGCGAAGGCTTTTGTAGTGTTGGAGCCGGATAACCAGGAGCGTTTTCGATCGGTCGCCAGGGACGTTTGAAAGGGCGACACCCTTGATCTGGTGACGATCGCTGGTCCGAAGCACCACGCGCGACAATAGCAGGAGGAAGCATGGGGTGCATGAATAGCCCTGCTTGTTCATCATCTTCCTCCTCGTCTCCGCCATCGCTGCTCTCCTCGCTCTCTGGTAACGGTGCAAGCTGGCTCTCAGATGGCAAGACGACGTGCTTGCCTGTGACTTTGCTGCTCCGCACTGGCTTGTCGACACGGCTTGGCAGTGAATAGCGCACCGATCTGGATGGAGTCCCTTTCAGTCCAGGAGCGAGACTGGGTGTACTGCTCGTAGCATTCCGCTTGGCGCTCGGTTTAGATACGACCGGGTTCCCAGCGGCAACCAGCTTCCCAGTTTGCGTCTTAAGCCCTCGTTGCAACCCCCCGGCTTTGAGGGAGCTCGAGAAGAGTGGTGGAGCCGAATCTGTCGGCAATGCTGCTGCCTGCTTCACGCTCAGATTACGTGGGACGGACAGACTGACCGGAGTTGGAGCGGAGGTTCCAGGTAGTCCGGCATGCCGCGAAGTGGCCGACGAGGGCCCAGGCATAATGATCCCCGCCGCGAGTTCCTGTCTTAGAGCTGCTTCTTGCTGAGCAGCCCTGGACATCGCTTGGGGTGGTGGAATGGCTTGTACTACAGGTCCAGGTCCAGAGCTGGCGCCTGCGCCCGCCACCATGCCTCCAGCGGAAGACCCTGACGGCGCAACATATGCAGTTGAGGTCGACGTTGACGAGCTGCCGGTAGAACGCGGTTGACGCTCTGAGTCTGCAGCTTTTGACTGCATGCTGGTGATTGATGAAAGTATGTGTACCCTTGCGGTACAGCGGAAAAGAGATGGTTTAATACAAGTCCAAGAGATCAAGGGCTGCAGGTTGTGGATGTGAAGAATGCGGCGTCTGACGGAGGCGTTTCCAGAATGCAACCTAAGGAGCCCGCGGTGTCCGTCGCGAGGGTTCTTTTGGACCGTTGCTCTTTGGTCTTACTACACGCTTGTCGCATAGATATTTATGAACATTCCTGCACGACTGCGCTTGAGGAAGTGCTCTTGTCTTTGAACATCTGCTGAATATTGAGTTGTGAATGTGCTTGAATAGATTGGCATGCACCAAATTGGCATCCCTTTCTTACCGAGGAAACATCAGCTACCTCTCGGCCGATACAGATATTATGTTTTTCACATGTTGTATCGTTCTGCCGCTATGACAGTTCGGAAGACTAATGTCGTCCTGTCACCAGCACATTGCGAGATACGGAAACCACTGATATATTCATCGTTGAGCGCAGGGAGTCGACGGGCTAAGGAATGTAGATTCTCGGCTGCGTTGTCCAACTTCAAGCTTCAGGTATACTCACAAAGGCGCAGACCGCACACATGAACAGAGGAGAACTGACTTCCAGATGCACGAGGCCCTGCCAAAGGAATCCGCGGAAAAAAAAACACGATGTAGACGCTCCGTATTCTGTACCTCCTCGCATCTTCTATTAAATCCATCTCCGTTGCTGCCCTGAACTTCAGCGCATTCAAATTCATCCATATCCAATACTCAAAAATATTCAACGTTCAACCTTTTAAAGTAGAGCGAGAACGAATAGAGGTTAGTGGAACAGCGATATCACTTTGGACTAGTCAGGCCCAAAGCCAAAACGGACCCTTCCACAGTGAAACCAAGGCGAAGGCAAGGCCGCGAACCCGCGGCCGCCTCCTAGGTCAGGGATGGCTTTGGATGAGACTAACTTTGGCCTAGCGAGGTCCAGCATTGACGGGCTCGCATAGTCATGAGCGAGGCCGAAACAGAATGAACTCTGCCCCAGAATCCAAAATATGTGCACGGCGGCTGATGGAAATGATAGAAGCATGTGGGATAGAGTACATTACATATATGGAGTGGATTGACGCAACTATGCAATTCGTTGAAACCCGGTGCCCGATTGTACCCGGTGGGCCGGGTATGGGCCTGCCGGTACGCTTGCATGGACAATTTGTGCGTACAATGTACTCGTCTTCCACCCCTCGGCTGAGTCGGCCCTGGCACCTGGCAGACAGTTATGCCCACACTTCCCTGGCGCCAGCGCTCGAAGCCTCGAAGGCTCTACCTCGACCCACCCCAAATGAAATAGAGACCTTCCTATGTACAATGAAATTATAAGGGTGAACTTCTGTCACCCAAACCCGCTTGTCACATGCCATATGTAATAGATCACTGGCTCTAGGCTCCTCCATTCTGTCTCATCTCTTGCTTCTGGTCTCTGCCAGCGTCCTATAGAATTCACCCCAAGAGCCCTCCGCTGGCGATCCGTACTGCTCGCCTCCAGGCTCTATCCCTCGTTCCAGCATGTCAGATGTCGCGAGGTTCGCCCCGGAGCCAGCCGTACTCCCGCCCTATCCCGTCCGCCGAGCACTTGCTTTCCCGTCATCTGCCCTTAAGGTCATCATCAATGCCATCTGGCACAGACTCGAGCTGCCTGATCGGCTCAAATTCGTCCTTGGTCTCCTTCTTGTGATCAATTGGCGCAGCTTTCCTTTACTATGGCACTTCCAAATGTTTGGGCTTGCGTACAAGTATCGCATGGAAAAGTTTCCTGTCAAGTCGATTTTCTTCCCATGGATCAAAGACTCTTCAGCACCGCTCACCTTGCCTGGCGTAGAGCCTCAGCTCAAACTCAATGCCCTGCCCTTGGGAAAGAATATCTTTGAAGATGTCACCACGCTTCAGTTCCGTGCCTGGCCGGACGACTGCGAGTGAGTGATTACGCTCGTTTTTGTGTTGTGATTCCATTCGCTGATGCACATACATTTCGAACATCTTGCAAAGCTGGAACATGCACCTTTCAAACAGCTCCTATAACAAGAGTCTCGATTATGTTCGGATGGCACACATTTATCGAACGTTTTGTCGTTCCTGCTCCGATGGCTCTCTCATCGCTCTGGGAGGCGCGGCGTACACATACCATCGCGAAATTCCGATCGGCGCCAAGTATGACATCGAACTACGTGTTGTTACGTGGGATGAGAAGTGGTTCTGTGAGTCTTTGCGATGGGACTCGTTCGACGTGCTTCAATAGTGTACTGAGAGCTTTTGTTGGCTATCATGCAGATCTATTGGCGCGCTTCGTGTCACCAGCGAAAAGGCCAGGTTTGGCCGACTCAAAATCCATTCAAAACCTCAAGCAATTGGCATTGGATGCCACTTCAAATCCTCGAGTTCCAGTGGACAAGGAGAGTGGCTCTGGCGCCAGCAGCAGCCGCAGTTCGTTCACACCGAAGGAGCGCACTGTCTACTGCACTGCCATATCTCGCTACGTTTTCAAGGCAAAGAGGCGAACGATACCGCCATGGTTCACAGTCGCGACCAGCGGTTATGGGACGTTCGCGAGCACGAGAGAGAATTGGACGAAGTCGGAAGTGTTGCGAAGAGACACGATCGCTGCAGCCAAGCGTCGAAAAGGCGGGAAAGCTCTCCCGAAGGACAATTTTTTCCTTGGCAGCGGGCCGAGATCCGCAGGCATTGCTTCAAGGTTCCATGAAGCAGAAGCACGAGGCGAGGAGTGGACCAAGGCTAGGTCTTGGGAGCTTGCCGAGTTTGAGAAGGAGCGCACAGAAGGCCTCAGCCAAATTCAGGGCGTCACGGGACAATATGATTTGCAGTGACCACATGAGATGCGTTTGCTATCTAGAAATACAGATGCTTGTGCGAAAAATTGATTGAAAGGTCATGTTGTGGAAGCAAGAACGTGGAATGGCGTCAACGAGAGGCAGCAGCTATGGTTCTTTTGGCTGCTGGAGGTGGAGGTGGGGGCCGACGTCGCGCGCCGGGTGTGGGGGAAGGGGTGGACAATGACCGGTCCATTGATGCCCGATTCAGCGCCTCCCTCGAGATATTTGATACCTTTAATTTCCGGAGAGCAGATAGGACCGACGAATCTTCTGTGATGTGGGCTTCCGGATAGTAATCGTCGTCTTGCTGATCAACATGGTCCGAGCTGATGTGCTCGTTGCTGGGTTTGATTTGATCAAGCTGGGAGGAGTGCGATGAGTGGATTGGAGATGACGTTCCATTGCTGGCTGAATGCCATCGGTCAATGGCTTGTACATCGGAATGCGGTGACATGGCTTCGCTGCTGCTGTACCAGGACAAAGATAGCCCACCTTTGTGATTCCCCACAGTTTCGCTGGCTCCCGAGGAGCCCCTTCTTGGAGGCGTAGCCGGTGCGGAGTGTGGCATGGATGGCCAGCCGTACTTTTCGATGAAACGATGCGCTGGGCCGGCAAGGGCTGCGGTGCTGAATGGCTCGAACTGCACGCTGGCCTCAGGTCCAGCGGAGAGTGATGGAATGTTGGCAGGAACCGACTTGTCGCTGACGGTGCGGTCAGAAGCACCAGTGATCACAGCCACTCCCTCATTCGTGAAGCCGACATCGACGGCCTCTGTGTGTGGGATACCACCCCCGATCGCCTGGACCGCTGCATGCCCATGCTCGTCCAGTGTGACGCACCACTCTGACTTCAAGCATCTGTCCACCAGCCTTGCGGTAGTTGCGCTGATTTCTCGAACGCGCCCATGAGCAATCTGGCTCTCCAGTAAATGGCGTATTTCTTTTCGCTTGTAGGGGTATGTGCAGAGTTGGGTATTGGCCAACAAGGGTTGAAGCACTCGAAGGTAGGTATGACGCAGCTGCGTGAGCAGTAATGTCAGAAGCAAATCGACCAATGAATGAGCCGAAGCGGACGCACAGATTCGCTTTCTTCAGGCAAATCGGATAGCTCGCGAATGAAGATGTCCACAAGAACCCTGAGGTCATTGGTGTAGAAATAGAATGTGGTTTCCTTAGTTGTGAAAAGCAGATAGAGTAGTTTGAGGATGAGCAATTGAACGCAGAGGTCGTCGTCGATACGACTTGAAGTGCGATTCAGTATGAAGATTAGATTTTCGCCAAAGGTCTTTGATGCGTTCAAGCGGACCTTTAGGACATTTAGCACGAGGTTGACAGGACGGGGATGGCCATTGGAGGACGTCGTTCCGGAAAAACTTTTGCTGGAAGGATTATCTGATAGGCTCGAGACCATGTATTGTTCGTTCAAAGCGATCTAGAGATGACATGAGGGAGGTCAGCTGCGCTCGATCATCGCGTGGCCATTCGGTGCTTACCAGCAGGAGAATGATGCGATAATTAAATTCCTCGTCTTCATGGTCCCTAGTAGCTTCGACGAGGTCAAAGAGATGATTGATGAACGTGGCGTCGATTGTCTCTGCAATTGATTCGCTAGAATCAGAATGGAGCTGGTTTCAAGCGGTTAAAGGACGCACTCAATTCTTTCGAGTCGAGCTTTTGGACCTTGCAAACTTGATAGAAGAGCCGCACGGCGCGTACCCGCAGCTGCATCGACACTTTGCGCGAAGCTGTGCTTGATCCCGTCAAACCAAGTGGTATCGAAAGCCGTCCAGAGACAGTTGCATCACTGCCGAAAGTGGAACGCACATGGCCATTCCGTGGCAGCAGCCCCGGGTCCCAGTCACGCTGCTCCGTTTGTTGATCCGATTGCGCTGCATAATGGCCCGCCCATATCCTGTGTATCATAGCGTAGGCGAATGATCGCTCCGAATGAAATCTTCGAAAAATGCTGTGATTTTCTTGTCCGAGGACCAACACGAAGGTAATGGCGACCAAGGATCGATCTGGTGACTTGGCCTGTTGCGACGCAGGTGATCAGTACTATGATACGGCCCATGGGATTGGAAACGAAACTCACCCGAATCACCTCCTCAACCAAAACGGCTTCAGCAGCTGCCGTGTTGCTCTTGAAATATGAGGAGCTACATATTCGACGCACTAGGCTTTCGACCTCGTGCGGTCGAGTGAAGTTCTCCTCTATTGGAAGGAAAACGAACGTGTGAGTGTCAGTTTGATCGCGCAAGGTATCCTTCAGCTCTGAACACGTACGAAAGGATGACTCGATCAGACTGAAGAGCAGATCGAATGTCGCCTCTATTTCGCCGGGTGATACTGGGCCACGTGAAGTGGAGTTGGGGAACAGATCATCCACTTCCAGCCAGAATTGAGATGAATGGACAGGTGTATAAGTGGCGAAGGTATCCATGTTGATCCAGGGAAAGGAGTTGCGCCCTGAGGCGACGCGAGCTGCTGTAGCGGTTCGGAAGGTGCCAAGTCCGATGAGGCATCGCTGTAAGCAAAGGTAAGCGATGAGTGACAACGTGCGAACGGCGCCAGCAGCCAACAGCCAACAGCCAACACAGTCGCAGGTGTCCACGGCGTGGGCGCGAGCTGTTGTATTGTCGCCTGTGCGATACAACCTCTGCGTTGCGTTCTTGGAAGCTCGGGTGATGCAGGACGACTGAAAGGGATGATCGAGTATACCTATGACTATCCGGGTGCTGACCTCTCGACCTGCAACCATAGACTTCTACAGCCCACAGCCTGACAACCACCTGCTGAGAGCGGGCGAAGATGAGCACTCCATACTCGTTTCTCCTCCGCTTGAAGACGAGGCCCATGTCGCACGGCGGAACTGCCGGCGCCACATTATATAGACTTGGTTTGTTGACCAGAGGCGCGGACTCACTCCTTCACACCCACATGGCGCATGCCACAAAAAGTCCCACCACCTCATGCACTATTAAAGCTTTGACGCCACTCCAACTTCAGCACAGCCGTCAGCTCGCGTCAATCACCCACCTACACATCATTCCTCCCCCGCCTCATCTCCCTGGCATACTAATCAAGTAGCAATATAAGCTCGCGAGACTTCCAATATGAGTGAAAGAAAGGTGCTCAACAAATACTTCCCGCCGGACTTTGATCCGTCTTTGATCCCCCGGCGGAAGCTGGAGAAGGATAAACAGCAGGTGGTCCGTCTGATGGCCCCTTTTTCGATGCGTTGCAACACTTGTGGCGAATACGTGTACAAGGGCAAGAAGTTCAATGCTCGAAAAGAGACCGTGCAAGGCGAAGAGTACTACGGCATCAAGATCTTCCGTTTCTACATCAAATGTCCTCAATGCAGCGCGGAGATCACCTTTAAAACGGACCCCAAAAACACCGATTACACCGCGGAGCACGGCGCCTCCCGCAACTTTGAGCCATGGAGGGTCACAGAAGATCAGGAAGACAAAAATGCGGATCCATTGGCCCATCTGGCGGAGGAAGAGGAGGAAGAGGAGCTGGATCCGATGAAGGCACTGGAGCAACGTACATTGGAGTCCAAGAGGGAAATGGAGATCGCAGACATGCTTCAAGATATTCGCACACGCAATGCCCGCAACGAGCGTTTGGATATCGATACCGTCACAGTATCACTGGAAAAGGGCAAGGGGCGAAGCTTGAACCCTGAAGCTGAGGAGCAACGATTAGCAGAGGAAGAAGACGAGCTGCTCGTGCGCAAATATTTCGGTCGGGCCGAAGAACAGAGCGGAGCTGATCCCGCAGCAACCCCACAATTTTCAGCGCCTGTCCTTCAATCGGATGTCTCACCGTCTGAAGATTCCGTGGAAACGCCAAAGGACGAAAAGCGGTCCCCGTCGATAAGGAAGCCTGTGATGGCAGTCAAACGCGCAATTTCCGAAGAGCCCGATCCAGCGAGCTTGCTGAGCGAACGCGCTCGCGCGCAGCTTGTCGCCGCAAAATCTGCTCTTCCAGCTGTCAAGAAGAGGAAGGCGAACCCGTTCGGGATATCGAAAAAGAAGACATGACATATGCCAATCCCACTCGAGGAAGGCATGCGTGATGGTCTCCGTCGAATAGGGGGATGCAAAGGACTATTCGACATATATACAGGCTATCAACCTCTCCTAGACAGACTGAGCCTTCCGTCTTCGGCCTCCTCTACTTGTACCTTTGTACTCTTGGCTGCCCCCCCCCGCTCTTTTGCCGCCGCTTCCACGTTCCCCAACCTCATCAATTGCACCTATCGACCGGCAGCTGTCCGATATATCCCAACACTAATTGCGAGCAACCACAATAGAGCGGGGACAAGGATGCGTTTAGCGCCATCGCATCGATGTACTTGGACAAGATAGAGTCCGCAGCTTGAATCCTCAGGTCCACGTGCGTCAGCCAAATCTATCACACAGTGTTGTTCCGCAAACGACCGCTCACAAAAATTTGGAGGGAGCCGAACCCTCCGAAAAAGCTGTCCTGGGACAAGCTGCGGTAATCTGATGCCTTCAGTGGCTTGTTACATAGCTCAATGTCGGCCAGGTCTTCGGCCGCAAGAACGTTTGGCCAGGGAGCAGCTCTCTGCCGCAAAATAACCAATATGCGCACTGAACAGTACATCCAATAAGCAAATGACTGGGCACATTGCGCTTGGAATCTGCGCATATATCATGCCTTGAGCTGGGCCTACAAATCAGTGGTGAGCAAGTGGCCAGGAACAGACAAGCAATTCGTGCTTGAGCATATGCTTCGGACACCTAGTGCCTCAGCTGGTTGGTTCGCAGGTTTATGCGCAAACCAGTCTCACATTACTTGAATGACTTTGCGCACCATATTGATCGTTGTCGCAAAGAAACCAAATCGGCTCGCTAGCCTCCAGAGCCGAACGGTATTCAAAAGGACACATGTGTGTAAAAGACCTTGGGCGCGAGGCGGCGCAAGCTTGCGTGTAGGCAAGTAGTGGATAAAATGCGCCGATGCTGCATCTCCTTTCGGTGTACATGTAATCTACAAACTCACTGCGCTGCTCAAACGAGGCAACATTGCGGACAGGAACCACTATATATGTGTGTGTCATACTGCTTTTGTGCGCAGAGACAGCGATGGTTGTCTGAAAGAAAAGATGAAACACCACGGGAGGCTCTGGCGTTGTGGCCATGAGGAATCACCGCAAAGACGTCGACGATCGTTGTCAGAAGCCGGCACTCATCCTTGCTTACGGTCATTACGAGAACACTTGTTCACAGCGTATCACATATCACGACTTGCAGAGCCATGCAATGAGACGACGCCTTGAGGGCAGTGTAGCAGGTTCGAAGCAATGGGGGTTGCCTGTTCCATAAGACGTCGCTGGCGGCTCGGAGTGAGAGTGTTGATGTAAGCGCGCGCTGTACATTTCCTTTCGGCTTTCCGCCGAGATGGAGAGAGCACTGTGTGCGAGATGCGAAGTCGCGTCAGCCGTCATCCCCACTCGACTCTCACGATGCGCTGTGTGGCGTCTGTCATTGTTGATAGGAAGTTGAGTCGTTCTTCTTCTTCCTTGGTCTCTCTTCATGAACGTTTCAGCTCTATACACTTGAAGGTCTTGACTTCATCGCCGCCCAGTGCTCAGGTCCACCGCACTACGCCATCAGAAGCACTGTGAACGAAACCGCATTCTACACCCATGACCAGCAACGGTACAGCACATTCCCAGAACGGCGCTGGCGCGCAAGCTTCTGCTGCGCCAGCATCGTCGAATGCCAGCAGCGGCAACAAGCAGGCTGACCCTTCCGAGGTTGGTTGGCTCTTCGTGCCGCAGTACTACCTTTTACTCAACCAGGACCCGCAAAGACTGCATCGCTTCTACACCAAGAGGAGCACTTTGATTCATGGCGTTGAGCAGGAAGACACGACACCATGCTTTGGCCAACAGGTTGGTTTATTTCGCTCTACTTGATGGATTGAGCTGTGCTCATGCGACAACGTTGCCCCAATTACATCAAATCTTTCTAGGCAATTCACAGCAAGATCCTGAGTCTGGACTTCCAAGACTGCAAGGTGTTCGTTTCCAGTGTTGACAGCCAGTCCTCCGCAAATGGCGGCATTGTGATTCAGGTCCTGGGCGAGATGTCAAACAAAGATGGTCCTTGGCGCAAGTTTGCTCAGACATTCTTCCTGGCAGAGCAACCGAATGGGTACTTTGTGCTAAATGATATCTTCAGGTATCTCAAAGACGAAGAGGAGACGGAGGAAGAAGTCCAGGAGGTTGACGACGCCCTCAATGATGAGCTTGCCGACGCCGAAAAGAAGAGTGGAGTGGTCCACCACGATGTTGATGTCACCGTTGCGCTTCAAGAAGGTGACAAAGAGTATCTGCCGTCTGCAGACACGCTGAGAGCCTCGTTGCCGGTCGCGACACAGGCCGAGCAGAGCGATGAAGAGCCCGAGAACCAGCAAGCATCAATTGCAGAGCAGATGGCCTCGACCGATGAGCCCGCTCCCGAGACGCAATCTGCTGCGCCCGCAGCCAATAGAGTGGCAGCAGAACCCTCTCCTGCACCACCTGCCTCGACATCGACTGCTGCAGCGGCGAAAAAATCTGACAGCGCTCCCACGAGTCAGTCTGCTTCTTCGGCTCCAGCCCCAGCGAAGCCCAGCGCGCCGAAGACTTGGGCCAGCTTGGCTGCTTCCAGCGCCAACAAGTGGACCGAGAATGTGGCCTCCAACGCCCGTGGCATTACCACTGCACCAAAACCTTCGGCTCCTGCAGCGCGTGCACCTTCAGCCGCCCCCCCTGCAGCACCATCGGCCACTAGCCGGACATCTGCACCCGCAGCCACACCCGGCCGTCCTCACCGCGGAGACGAGGAGGCATCCGTCTTTGTAAAGAATGTCAACGCCGACCGCGTCAAGACGGAAGCGCTCCAGAAGGTGCTCAGCTCCTTCGGAAACGTGCTCAACTTGCACATGATCCCACAGAAGGCCTGTGCCTTTGCCGATTTTGCCACGGCCGACGATGCGAAGCGAGCAATCTCTGCCAGCCAGGAGAATGGAGGCATCAGCATCGATGGATGGACCGTTTCTGTGGAAGAGAAGAGAAAGCACGACAAGCCCGCCGGCACTGGTAGAGGCCAGTCCGATCGTGGATCCTTCCACGGCAACGCGGGACGTGGTCGCGGCAGGGGAAACTAGGTTTTGCATCCTAGGGGGCGAGAGTTGGGCGAACGATCACGCACGCAGTGCGGCCCAGGCGAGCATCTGAGCATTTGAGTCGCTTCACCATAGCATGCATATGTATCATTTTCACAACAAAAGCATCGCAGCATGGCAATGGCAGCTTCAGAATTCCAGAAGCAGCATAGGTGCCTGATGGGCAGTTCTTAGCGGGCTGACTAGCTGGCTAGCTGGTTGGATGCCTTGGACCATAAATTATTTAAGTGAGGTTCCTACGATGCTCGGACCGGCCGACAGAAGGGCGGGCGGTGTCCACGTGGGGGCCCGAACCGAACCCTCCCCCCATCCCGATGGTGGCAACAGAATATGAGAATTAAGATGTTGAGATGCTGTATATATCCACGCGCGCACAGGACTCCGACGAGAGCTCTATGCTGCGTCGAAACTCGACTGATTGGGAATCGCAGATTGCTGATGCCGAGCGGCTTCTCGAGCATCGACAGGCGTCTGTGCCTCCTCCACCTCCCCACTTGGACTTAAAAACATCATCATGGCGACTCCAGTGCTGCTTGTCATGATGGTGCGTCGGTGTTTCGCATTGATGTGGGAGCAGACTGACATGTATCTTCGTCCTCACAAACTATAATCATCTGCTCTCAGGGAACTTCAGGGTGTGGCAAGACCACTATCTCGTCTATCCTCGCCTCGAAGCTCGGCATACCCTTCATCGACGGTGATGATCTCCATCCCCGTGCGAACGTGCAGAAAATGTCCGAAGGGCATCCTTTGGACGACCGAGATCGAGAGCCCTGGCTAAAGACTATCCGCGAAAGGGCCATCGAGTTGACCTCCAGCAGCAAACCAGACCTTTCAAATGTCCACAATGATCCCACGCAGACCGCTCAGCATATGGCAGAGGTGCTAGAAACTTCCCAACCAACACGCCAGCGCGAAGCGGGCACCGCAGAGCCAGATGTTGAAGATCAAGGTGAAAGCGGCCCTGTCAAACCTGTCGTAGCTACGGAACCACGTCGGGCTTGCATCATTGCGTGCTCTGCACTGAAGAGAGCTTACCGCAACCTCCTCCGAGGCGAAACCGACAGCCTCTTTCACAACGATTCGGAAGACTCGCGAGCGCCCAACGCAAAGTCGGACATAGACACCCACCACATATATCTGCACGTCGCGCCGGATGAATTGCTGCGAAGAATGCACAATCGCAAAGGGCATTTCATGAAGGAGCAAATGCTAAGAAGCCAGCTAGAAACTCTAGAAGAACCCGATCCACACTCTGAGTACGGAGTAATCGTTGTTGAAGCTGCCAGAGCGCCAGGTCTCGTGGTAGCTTCGCTCGTGCAGCAGATCAATGAGATGGTCGGTCCAGTCTGTGGCCCCCCAGCGTGAACATTCCTATCCCGATTGGAGTTACTGTAGCATAAAGTCCATGATTCCTTTTGGGGTTTGTTTCCGAATCCTTAGCGTCGCAGAGGAGAATCTCGAGCACGATCTCGAGATTGCTCGCGTTCATGCGGGGGTCTCGACCCAGATGGACTACCCGCTTCGGAGCCTTGTTGCACTTCGAAGGGAAATAGCAGATGAGTCAGCCTTGACAAGCTCTGCTTCGACTTCAGAATTCAGAAAAGTGCGGCTGCGAAACTCACTGTAACCTGCAAAAGGTGGCATCGGGGCGCCCATCATGCTCATGTATGGGTTGAAAGGTGCCGACATGGGAGGCATGCTCATTGGCATGCTGCCTCCAGCCAGTCCTCCGATCACCGATCCTCCTTCACCTCCCACTTGCGACATACTGGGGAGAAACAAAGGAGCGTCAGATTCAGCGATATTGCGCTTGCATTCAAATGTGACCCTGCATTGCGCACTCACGCTTGCGCGTACGCCATTTGGGCCGCCTGCATCGCCTGCATCTGTGCCTGCGCAGCTTGCCGGGCCTGAGCGGCCATTGCTTCATTGTTGGGCATTCCTCCGCCTGGCGCTTGAGAGCCAGCGTAGCCGGGCATGCCTCCGAAGCCAGACTGCATCCCCCATGGCGGCATCATTCCGGGCATCATCGTCTGCTGCCAAATCATGTACGGGTTCATGAAAGGCATGCCAGCTGCGCCCATTCCGCCCATTTGCTGCATTGCCATCTGCTGCTGCTGACGGAACATCTCCTCCTCGCGCTGCTTGCGTTCAGCAGTGACACGGTCGCGCTCACGCTCGGTGAGCGTGGCGCCGTAGCCACCGGCGCCTTTGCGATCCTTCTCGTGCGCGGTGATCGCACCGAGCAGGCCAGCCTGTGGAGGAGGCGGCTTGTTCGGAACATTGACCAGGTGGCCCCCTTGCATCCTGGCCTCGGCTTCCTGCGCCTTGGCAGATCGTTCGGCTTTCTCCTGGACGCCAGCTTGAAGCAGGCCGTGAGGTTGAAAGACGGCGGTCATTGCACCCGGATGCTCATCCGGGCTCAGTTGGACAAAGGTGTTACGGCCCAGCCCCGGAGAGGACCCCCGGATCTGCGGCGGCGTTGTCTGGGGCCCAAAGGAGTCGGAGTGCTGCATGCCCAGATGGCTGTTGAACATCGTGGAAACACGTGTATTAACCATGGGCGGCAGGCGTGATGCTGCGCCTGCGGGTGAGCCGCGTCCCGAAGTGTTTTGCGAAGGGCTTGCGGTGCGGTATCCGCCAAACTCCCCGGTGCGCAGCGGTGGTGCGCCTTGCATCTGCTGCATTCCGTTAGCCGACGGCAGCTCGTGTGGGTCACGTTGGGAGCTCTGGGACGACGGGAGGCCTTGCTGAATCGAACCCTGCTCCGACGCGCTGCGAGATCGCGGCTTGAATGCAGCAGCAGGCCCCGTCGACGGGGGCCTTGTACGCACCTCCTCCTTCTCTTCCTCCTCCTCCTCCTCTTCTTCCTCCTCTTCATCGTCCTCATCATCTTCGCTGCTCTCCTGACCCCAAGCATGCGCGCCCTTGCTCCTCTTTCGCTTGTGCTTCGGGCGTCCAGGCTTACTCAGCGCATCCTGGTGCGCCTGCACCTGGAGCTGGGCAGCCGTCTTGCGCTCGGCGGCACGCTTGTTGGCGTTAAACGAGGACGGAAACGCGTTTGGCGGCCGCGAAGCGAATGCTGCACTCTCCTGCTGTTGTTGAGGCTGCGGTTCCATGTTCGGCCGGCTGACGACGACAGGGGAAGGGGGCTTCTCGAGGTAGGAATACGCCGCAAGTGCATTTTCGCCGAGGCTCTCGTCCGGGCGGCCGGAAGCACGCATGGACGCCTTGTTGGGTGTCACGTGCTGTGCCGCAACTGCAGCTTCAGCAGGAGGTACAGAGATTGAAGCAGGCTCAGCAGACACGGGGACAACAGAGGGTAAGGCGCCCTCGAGTGGAGTAGACTGTGCCTGTGCCTGCTGTAGTGGTTGCAGGTGCGCAGACGCATGCTGCGCTACAGGCTGCGACGAAGCTTCTGCCTGCCGCGGCTGCTGTGGAGCATACGATGACGCGGAGCTGGACTCATACGTGCGCACCGAGTCCATGCGCGAGACGCCGGCTGCGTCCTTGCTGGGTGGTGCTGGGCCTGCGGTCTGCTGCGAGGAGGCAAGCGCAAATGCCGCTGCAGTTGCAGGCGTCGACGCAGGCAAAGGTGAAGAAGGGGTGGCAGGGAGCTGATCAGACATGGCGCGCATGTAGAACAGAGCGCCTTCATCGTAGTTTCCGAATGCCGCGTCGGATGCCCTCTTGTTGATTGACAAGATCCCCGCTTCGGCGCCGCGTCCGCTAGGTGCCAGCGTCGCTGGTCCGGTCGCAGAGTCCGGTGCAACCGCTGCTGCTGCTACCTGTGCAGATGCCGAGGCGTCGATACCATTCGTAGCCGCAGTATGACTTCCGGACGAACCATTGACGAGCAGAGCAGGGCTGGCGATGCCGGGCGCTGCGTGAGCTGCTGCCGGCGGAGAAACCTTCTGAGGCGGCATTGGCGGCTGATGCGGTTGCTGCGAACTTTCGGCGGCGGCAGCGTCAGCGGCAGGCAAGACCCAGGCACCTGGCGTGGACGAGTGTATCGAATACGAGCTGGCTTTGCGCTCAGCGCTAGGCCCCTGGGCGTGGTGCTGCTGCTGCGCGGCGCCCGTGAATGCGGTGGTGCCGGCCATGGCGCTGCCCTCGCGCGAGCGCTCGCCGATCGAGTCGAGCGCAGCACCATGGCCGTTGTGCCTGCTGGTGCCGCTATCGGCCGGGAATGGCTGCTGCTGCTGTGCCTGCTGTTCCAAAGGGAGTTCAATGTCGAACGACGAAAAGTCTTTGCTGAGCACCGGCAGCTCGGGGCTGGCGGTGGATCCGAGGCCGTTGACGACGGTGGCGCCAGCGCTTGGACTTTCCTGGACGGCGGCAGAGGCGGTGACGCCAACGTTGAGCGCGGCCGTGCTCTCCTTGTTGGGCTGGGGTAGGGGCGAGAGGATGGGTGTGCGCTCGCCGCGCATGCGCATGGCCATGATGCCGTGAAGATTGGCCCTGTGCGCGAGGTGGCGCTCCTCGCGGACGTCGAGGAACTCGGCGAGCTCGCGGTCGAGGAAGAGGCGGTCCTTGTAGGGCCCAATCGGGTAAGCAAAGAAAGCCGACACTGGGTTGCGCGGCTCCCACTCGATCGTCGCAGGGCGGCCATACAGCTTGAAGGCGTCCATGAAGCCTGCGAGAGAGCACAAGGATGCGTCAGTATGACCTGATGTTGGAACGGCGACCGTCGCGCCGTGCTAGACTTCAAGACGTACCGATAACCCATTTCATCATCTCCGCGTTCGCGCCCTTGTTGGTTCCGCCTTCGAGGTCGGGCATGAGCATAACCCATCCAGTCTGGCGCACGCGGTTCGTACCGGAGAGGACGTGCCCGAGGGGAAATGCGCCCTCTACCTTGAACAGGCTCGAGCCCTCGACGAGCTCCGGGCGAGATGGGTACACGGCAAAAGCGTGCGCGGCGTACATGATCCCTGCGAACGGCTGCTTGGCCTTCTTGTTTTCGTAGAACAGGCCGATGCCTCTGGCACCGTTCGAGCCGGGCGGCGGCTCAATCTGGTCCAACGTTGGGCCTGAGCCGGGCGAGCCGCCGGGTGTGATAGGCGAGCCAGTGAGGCTCATGATGCTGTGTCGGTTACCCGCACCACCGCCTCCGCCTCCTCCGCCACCTAGCTTGCTCCAGAACTTGCTGCCCTTGGTTTCAGCGTCCTCGGGCTTGTCGTACAGGACGAGCCAGCAGCGCTTCCACTCGGTCGAGCCCATGAAGCGCGCCTTGACCCACCCCTCCAGCCGGCCTTTGGCCAGGGGCGACTTGATGGCCATCGTCGAGATGCTCGCCTCATCCTCCTCGATCTCGGGCGGCGGCGCTGCGCTGCCGCTGCTGCTGCGCGACAAGGAGCCTTTGCGCTGCAGCGCGCCGACGGCACCCATGCGCGCGCGCAGGAGCGCGCCTGTGTAGATCTCTTCGAGCCGCACCTTCTCCCATGAGGCGAGGCGGATCGCGTTGACCCAGGCCTGGACGAGACGCCGGCCGACAGGGCCCTCGACGCAAAAGTACGTGCGATTGTGGCCAGCCGTATTAAGCGCAAAGACGTTGTCGTATTGGCCCTTGCTGTTGACCACGCTGTTCTTGTCCTCTGTGAGGTGACCAACGTAGTCGACAAACTGGAAAGAGGGGGAGAAAGAATGCAGTCAGGATTCGCTGCACACGTGTGAGAAATAGAAGTGCTGTCTATTTGTGCTGCTCACTGAATCCGTAATGTTGGTATACGACGGCGGCACCTCTTGCCCATTCCTTGCCGCGTGCTCCATGGCGCGGACATTCCACGTACTCAGCACCGTGCCGGACAGCTGGACAAAGCAGAGCTGCCACTGCTTCTTGGGGTCTGCAGGGTGCAGTGATTTTCCGTCTGCGGAGAGCTCCTCGCGCCTGGACAGGTAGCCTTCCATGTAGATCTTCTTTGCCTGGGCCTCGTGCAGGGCGAGGGCCTTGCGCAGGTCGGGGCTCTTGAAGGTCAGCGGAGCGGGCGTGGACCGGATGGAGCGCGAGGTGGAGTCGGTGGGCGACGGGGGGCGTAGACCGGCGTGGCCGTCGTGCGAGGAGGATTTGTCGAGTGGCTGGAACGCAGAAAAGGGGCGCAGTGACTGGGTCCTGCGATGGACCTGGGAGTGAGGGCCACCTCCGCTGCCGCCGGCATCGGAGTCCCGGAAGGAAGGGGAGAGGGGTATTCCGCTGCCATTACTTGCATCCTGTGCAGGGAGCTGGCGGAAGGGGGTTGGCTGCGGGGGTGGTCCTCCGATAGCCCCGGGGCCGGGTTGTCCCGCACCGGGGGCAGCCCCGCCCATCAAGCCCTGCGGGGGGAGGGAGAGCTGATGTCTGTGTTGGAGATGGGCTGCTCCTGCGGCCGCCGACGGATGAGGACCGGTCGCCGAGGAAATGCTTCCCCTGGGGCTGCTGACAAAGGGCTGTTGTGGTGAACCGTTCACGTGAAGCGGCGGCACGATGGCGGACGAAGAAGAGGGGGGGGCTGCTGCGTGCGGTGCCTGCTGCGTGCCGTACGGCGCGGGCTGGCGCAGCTGCTGCCACGAGTCGGCCATGGTGAGGAAGGCGACAGAGCGCAAGATACCCACCTCTGCTCTCAGGTGCGTTGAAACCCCAGACTGCGCCGCGTGTGACACGTTTGTGTCTGTGATGAAAGCTTCCTTTACAAGTCCAGAAGGAGAGAGGGAGCGAGGTATACCTTCTATCCATAACTAGTATCTGTGGTGAGACAGTGCAACACAAACAAGGTGGCGCCACTGCGCCAGAGTCAAAGCGAGAACTGTCCAAGCCTGCGCTGCTCGCCAGATTCGATGACACGATCTCGTTGTTCAAACACCGGATTTCCGGGGGGCGGGCGGGCGGTGATCATGCAGTGTAAACCCCGCCGATTCAAAAGGGGGTGGGGGCAGGGAACCAACCATCGATCGACATTGCCGGCTTCAACGCCCCAAACGCCTCTGCTCCGCCCGTCTAGTTACGGGGATATCTCTCGGCCGAGAGAGCAGGGGATGGGGGGAGGGGAGGGGGCGTGAATGCCATGTAATGCCGGCAAACGCCCATAATAGCACGATGTGCTCTGTCGGCGTGTGGTGTCACATACAAGGGGTTAGATGGTCGGATGGATGGATGGGTTGCATGGACGGGACTGGCACAAGGAAGCATCTCCATCGGGTAGAGCACGCACATATGCACCCACTGACTCCGTGTCGAGAGGACTGATTCGCTCGACTTCCGTCGCGTGACTACCACTGTTGCCAACGCGGCTTGGCTCTCCGGCGCGCCGTTGCCACTGGACGCGTCTGCCAGCCAGCCTCCCGACATATTCTCCGCCACCGCTTTCCCAGGGCAGGGAGCGAGCGTGTCGAGCTGGCTGGTCGTGCTCCGTAGTCCCTGATACCATCTACTAGTAGTAGTGGCAGCAACAGCAACACGATGGCCACCAGCGGCGCTCAGCCGATCCTCGCGTCGTTGCAGCGCAAGCGCAGCCGCATCCTCCCCGCGCTGCTCCTACTGCTTCTGCTGCAGCGGAAGCGCATCGCCGCAGCGCTCCTGTCAGCGTCCGTAGGTAACGCCGCCGGTCGACCCGCGCGCCCCCTCTCGGCCGCACTCAAGCTCGCGCATGCGACAGACGACGAGATCCAGGCTGCGCTCGAGCAGCTGTACATCCCCAATCCGGACGGCTCGCGCACCTTGCTCGTCCCCCACCGCGGCCGCGTGTCCAAGGTGCCCATAAAGCCGACGCAGTCCGAGACGTTCCGTCAGCACTATCACGAATTCAGCAAGCTCCCCATCCTGCCTTCTGCCAGTACTACCACCAACAAGGGGAAAGAGGTCCAAAAGGGCGATGCTGCTGCTGCCAGCGACGAAAAGGGCCAGCGTGCGTTGCAGGAGGCGAAGGTGATCCGCGACCAGGGCGGTGCGGCAGCCGCCAGCGCGAAAAAGGTCGGCGTGAACAAGGAGTTCTTCCGGCAGCTGCAGGCTATTTTCCGCATCATCATCCCGCGGTGGCACTGCAAGGAGTCGTACATCTTCCTGCTGCACACCTCCTTCCTCGTCCTGCGCACATACCTCTCGCTGCTCGTCGCACGCCTCGACGGCGCGATCGTTGGCGACCTCGTCTCGGCCAACGGTAAAGGCTTCCTCCGCGGCCTGGGCCTGTGGTTCGCGCTGGCCGTCCCGTCGACGTACACAAACTCGATGATTCGCTACCTGCAGTCCAAGCTCTCCATCGGCTTCCGCACGCGCCTTACGCGCTACGTGCACGACCTCTACATGAGCGACAGTCGCAACTACTACAAGATCATCAATCTCGACGGCAGGCTCGACAGCGCCGACCAGTTCATCACGTCCGATGTGGCGCGCTTCTGTGACACGCTCGCCTCGCTCTACTCGAACGTCTCCAAGCCGACGCTGGACTTGCTCATCTTCAACTACCAGCTCGGCAAGGCCCTCGGTGGGCCAGGCATCGTCGCGCTCTTTGGCAACTACCTTCTCACCGGCTGGCTCCTGCGCAAGATCAGCCCGGCGTTCGGCAAGCTCGCCGCGATCGAGGCAAAGCTTGAGGGCGACTTCCGCGCCGCACACAGCCGCATCATCACCAACGCCGAGGAGATCGCCTTCTACGATGGTGCCAGCACAGAGTTTGGCATCCTCGAGCGCGCCTACATGCGCCTCATTCGCCACGTCAACTCGATCCTCAAGATCCGTGTCACGTACTCAATGTGCGAAGACATGATCCTCAAGTATGCCTGGTCTGCCGCCGGCTACGTCATCATCGCCTCGCCATTCCTCTTTGGCAAAAAGAAGCCATCGCAGGACGAGGTCGCTGCCGCCAAGGTCGATGTGGACCAGACGGGGTCGCGAAAGCAGAAGAGCCAGGTAGCAAAGCAGACGGAAAGTTACATCTCCAACCGCAGGCTGCTCCTCTCCCTCGCCGATGCCGGTAGCCGGCTGATGTACAGCTACAAGGAGCTCGCCGAGCTGGCGGGCTACACGTCGCGGGTGTACACGCTCCTCTCAACGCTGCACCTGCTCGACCGGAACAAGTTCCAGGCACTGCCGCGCCCCATGGACATGCCCGCATCGCAGACGTTCTATGACCTAGGTAACATTCAGGGCAACGTCCGCGAGGGGGTCGACCAGGTCTCGTTCGACAGGGTCCCCATCGTTGCGCCCGCGCCGGGAATGGAGCGCGGTGGCGAGGAGCTGGTCAGGAACCTGTCGTTGCATATCAAGCCCGGGGAGCACATCCTCATCACGGGCCCCAATGGCGTCGGCAAGACGGCGATCGCGCGCGTCATCGCGGGGCTCTGGCCCGTCTTTGCCGGCGAGCTGGCCAAGCCGAGCGACAAGGACATTTTCTTCCTCCCCCAGCGGCCCTACCTGTCCACTGGCTCGTTGCGCGACCAGGTCATTTACCCGTACTCGAACCCGGAGCACGTCGCCACAGGCCGAACCGACGCTGAGCTGCAGCAGCTGCTCGCGGATGTCCATCTAGCTTACCTGCCCGATCGTGAGGGCGGCTGGGAGACGCGCAAGGAGTGGAAGGACGTCTTGTCTGGCGGCGAAAAGCAGCGCATGGGCATGGCCCGCTTGCTGTACCATCATCCCAAGTTTGGCATCCTCGACGAGTGCACCTCTGCCGTTTCGACGGACGTCGAGGGGCTCATGTACACGCGCGCTAAAGACATGGGCATCAGTGAGTCATTTTACTGTCGCAGACGCTTTTTCTTTCTCTTTCTTGTCTGCAACGCTGACCACCTACGCCGCTGCTCCTCCCCCTTTCTCAGCGCTCATCACCATCTCGCACCGCCCTTCGCTGTTCAAGTACCACTCGCTCCTGCTCCGTCTCTCTGGCGAGGACGGCGAATGGGACTTGAGCCAGATCGGCGGCGAGGAGGAGCTGATGAGCTTCGCCGAGGAGATCGCCGACCTTGAGTCCAAGCTGAAGGAGGTCGATAGCTGGAAGAAGCGCGTCAGCGAGATTCAGAGCGAGCTCTCCTTCTCCACGCAGACGTGATTACCAAGCCCAGGCGGGTGGTTGAGCAATTTAACCAGAAACCTCCCCAAAGATGCCCCGCACACAGCCAAGTGTAGTGCCGGTATACGATTACTAAGTAACGCGGTCGGTATTTGGTCTTCTGTAATTTCGAACGATGCTACATGTATACTTTGGCTTTCCATCCGTCGCGCCTTGACCCATACGTGGTGCTCACGCGTTCCTCGTGTGATGTGATGCGTGGACTGGGGGAAGGCCGCTGCACGGTTCGCCCTGTTGGAACTGAATACCGTACGAAGCGCTTCGCGTTATCAAAGGCACAAGAAAAGGAGATAGATGTGGATGCGCACGTCGCGATGATGGATGTCTAGCGTTTAAGGTACATGCTCTTTCTGCATTTCTGCCTTGATTGTACGCGGACCCATGCAGTTGATTACGATCACAGCACTAGCCAGTGCTGGAACCCCCTTTTTGTTGGGACTGGACGAAACGGTGACGGTGACGGATTCGGAAGATGTGGATTGGACAATGACGAGCGCAAGTTGAGAAGAGAAAAATAGAGTAGATTAGGGCGGCCGACCGGCCGAATGGTATCATCAAGGTGTCCGATGCATGCGTGACATGCTCTTCATCTGAACTTCAATACTTGCCAGCGGCAGCCTCCACTGCGCTCGCGAGGTCGAGGTGGAAAAGCGGAGTGAGGTCGTTTCCCCAGATGATGGGAACGTGCACGCTTATGTCGTCCAGCGCGCCGCCACTGGTGCCCTGGACGCCAGCGCGGTCGCCGAAGAGACTTCCCTCCTTGCTATCTGCGCCACTCGATGTGCCCTTCTCGATGTCGAAGTCATTGTTTCCGGGCGAGGTGCTGCCGGTGCTCGGCTCGCCTGCTGCTTGCGCCGCCACAGTGACGACAGCGGCCGCGTCGCGTACCTGCAGGACGCGCTCGACGGCCGCGCGGCGGCGCTCATCGTCGTCACGCTGGCGCTGGCGGTTGCTCTCCGTGTTGTTGTTGTTCTCGTACGTGATGGGCGTGTTGTCGCGCTGGTACACGACGGGAGCCACCTCGGTGATGTGGCGCGAGGCGGTGCCGACGCCAAAGTCGCCGGCGAGGAGCGCGCGACGGATCCAGGGGCTGAGGATGTTGGCAAAGTGGAACTCCACGGGGCCATCGACATAGATCTCGACGGCGCGGCGGACGTCGACGAGCGTCTGGATCGACGTCGTGTCGACGTTGGCGACGCTGGCAAAGTCAAAGACGATGGCGCGCAGCCGTGGACGTGGGTCGTCGCGACTGTCGTTCTCTGCCGCGATGCGCGCCTGGATCTTCTCCTTGGACTTGCCACTGAGGCGACCGAACACTTTGCGGAACACCGGGTTGACAGGTCCCGGGTCGTTCCACGGGCGGTCCCCCGGCTTTGCATAGTTGGACGACTGACCGGGCTTGGTGACAGCCTTGACGCGGTCGATGATCAGATCGGCGAGATGCGACGCGTTCGGGTAGAGGAAGCTGTCATGAGGTTGGTAGATCAGCACGCCCGGCGGTGGTGGTTTAACCTGGATCGATGGGTCGCGCAGGCCATCTTTGTCGTCGAGGGGGACAAAGGCGATGCGCGCCTGGTCGCCGCCACCGACCTGCGAGGTGCGCGAGGTGGTGCCGGTGCTGTCGCCGTGCGAAACACGGACCATGCCAAGCCAGCGGCCACGCGGGCGGGCGATCCGGATGAGCAGCAGCGCTGCACTGGCCGCGACACTGCAAGAAGAAGCACAGAAAGGAGCAACGGATGAGGAACGTCAGCGGAGACCGTTTGTGCCATCCTGCCAAACGTCCGTGACGCAAAGCAATGCAATGTACCTTGTGTAGACGCCGTACTCGACATTGGCGAAGACTGTGACGAGGACGGATGCGAACCAGATGAACAGTTCGAACGGGTTGACCAGCCAAAATTTGTACAGCGCCCTCGGGCTGGCGATCAGATCTCCGACGGCGTGGATAATGACGGCAGATAGGGCACTGGAAGGGATCCAGTAAAAAGTGCCCGTGAGAGCGTAGAGCGCGATGAGAACGACGACGCCAGTGACCCAGCCTGCGATGGGAGTGCGCACGCCGGACTTGGCCTTGATGGCGGTGCGCGAGAAGGAGCCTGTGGCCGGGTATGCGCCGAACGTCGGGCCGACGAGGTTGGTGACGCCAATGGCAATGAGCTCCTGGTTGGGGTTAATCTTGTAGTTGTTGAGGCGGCCAAAGGACTTGGAGATGGCAATGTGCTCGAGGAGCAGCACGATCACCGACACGGGCAGCTCTGAGCCCATGTCGGCGAGCAGGCGCGGGTCGAGGTTCGGCCGTCCTATATGCTGGAAGCCGCGCGGGACGGTCTTGAGGATGCTGATGGGGTACTGCTTGGGCGAATAGCCGCCGAGCCAGACGCGCGAGGCGATGGTGAGGACGATAATAACAAACGCGCTGCGCAGGACCATGGTGAAGAAGGCGACGCGGGCGAGCCGCGGATGGCGGCCCGGGAGCCAGGTGAAGAAGGAGCGCACAGCGTAGAGAAAGAAGAGCGCGGGCAAGCCAAAGGCGGCGTCGAGCGTCGTTTGCGGGAGCGCCTTGAGCGTATCGAGGAAGATCTTGTACGCCGGGCTCGAGTTGGTCTGGACGCTGGTGATGCCCATGATCTTGGGGAACTGGCCGACGGCGATGGTTATGGCGCTGCCGGTCATGAACCCGCTAACAGCGGGCGTGGGGATGAACTCGACGAGCCAGCCAAGGCGGAGGATGCCGATGCCAAACGTGATAACGCCGCAGAGGAACGCGAGCGCAGACGCAATCATATCGGGCGTCCACTGCTTGCCCGTCTTGGCCATGACGGCGAGGATGACGTTGTTGGTCTGAAGTGACATGACCGCGACGGGGCCGATTGTGACGTCCTTGGACGTGGCAAAGAGCGCGTAGACCATCACCCCGACAAAGGACGAGTAGAGGCCAAACTCGGGGCTCAGGCCAGCGAGCTTGGCGTACGACATGGATTGGGGGACCAACACGAGCGCGACAGTGATTCCAGCGATCAGGTCACCGATGGCCCACTGCAAGTTGTACGAGCCGATCCATCGTCGAATGGGGAAGAGCGAGTCGAGGTAGTCGGCAGTCTGTGGGGCGGTGCATATTCAGTGTCTTGCACACGTTCGTGTCAAAAACTCTCGTCTCACCTTGCGGCCAGGGTTGGAAAATATGTCACTGAACCAGTCGGCGCTGCTGACGATGGGCACGCCCAGACGATTTGCCTCGGTGTCATTGTAGCCGATGACCCATTTCCAGGCATTGGAGACCTTGCCTGAGGCGCGGCCGCGACCGCCTGTGCGGTGGCTCATGCTGGCGCCGCGTTGCTGATGGTGGTGTTGACAGGCGGGACCGCGTGTTGCTCAGCGGTGGCAGTTATCGGGTCCAAGGGACGCGTCACTTGATACTGGAGAACAGATACGCGATGAAGGGAGGCGAACGTGCTGCTGCCCTGTGCTATATAGCCGTCCGACCATCAGCGCTGCCGCCTGTCGGTGGAGAAGTGGATGTCGATATCCCTTGGACGGCGCTCTGCCGTCTGCGATAGTGCCAAGAGGGGTCAGCTGGTGGCGGAGGTCGAATCGATCACGCACTTTTTCGTTTTTGTGGATGATGATGGATGGAGAGGGAAGTGGAGGATGGTGTGCCGTACGAATGGATCTCTTTCCCTTTCTCTGCGCTGGCCGTGTATGTAGCAAAGGAGGCTGTGGGCGTGGCTTGGTTCGGCTCGGCTCGATTCGCTCCCGTCAGCGATGGCCTGGAAGAGTAAGAGGAGTACTTGCCCTGAAACAATGTATGCGTGTCAAGGAAGAAGCGCCGCCTGCAACGCAGGTTGGGCGAGCAAGTAGCAGCAGTTCCCAAGGAGGGCAGGTAAGGTAGGTTCGGTACGATCAATCGCTGCCAAAAACGCCACGCCGTGACGAGAGATGGTGTGCTTTTAGCTTCTGCTTGAGCGATCAGCTCGCCAGGTGGGGTTATCGGCAGCGGCGTGCCTGAGAGAGTGTGTGTGTCCAGGAGGAGCACTTCTCGCTCGCATTTGTATCCACCCAGCTCGGACTTGCATCCAGACCCTCCCCGCGGCCCCCGCAGAGCGGCGGGCAGCAGTGAGCCAAGAGTGCCTGCTGCCACATCGTCCGTTCCCAGCCAGAGTTTTCACGAGACGCATGTATGATGATAAATGTCTCTACGACGGACGGGAACTTTAATCAGAATGTCGTGATTGCTTGCTTGCTTGCTTGCATCTGTGTGGTTGAGTTGGCTACTTTAGTTTCGCCTTGAGCACGCAATCAGATAAACTTTATCATAAGTGCAGACCCGAAATTATCTAATATTACCTAATATACCCATGCCGCGTCTCCCGGTGACACCCCTGCGGGGTTGCCTATGTCCGAGACTGCTCGTTGGCTTAATCAGTCGTCCCTCCTCGGGTCACATGCAACCTAGCAGAGAATCGGTGCAACCCCCATCCATGACATCATTCAGCAAGGCCGTCCGTCCGTCTGGCTGCGCTTTGGGCCGCTCTATTCGACCAACAGCACACACTGTGGCCGGCTCACCCGACACCGACCCAAGAAGCCCTTCGTTGCTCCATCAACCGCCACATTCGCATTCATCCAGCCAGTATCCAGCCAAAGCGCACATAACCCCTCGCAGCCACCGACCAAAACCCGCACAGCATCACTATGGCAGAAAAGCACCTGAAAGCCAGCAGCAGCAAAGGCGGCGCCGCCAACCCCGACCAGCCGCAGCTGCGCACAGCCGACCTGAGTAAGGTCGCTGCGCAGGCCGCCCACCTCAAGGCCAAGTACACACAGAACGCAGAGAACTACAAGAGGAACACCGGCCGCGACATGGCTTTCCACACTCCTGCTCTGCCGCAGACGCCGCCTTCAGGTGCCAAAGCCGGCGAGTAGATCGCTGGCGCACACCCGTCGCCGCAG